TTTCCTATGAAAAAGACTATAAATACTACACACGATGTTTGAAGCAGGGGCATGATGACGCTTTGTGCAGAAAAAAACAGAAAGATGAAGGTGATAAAATGAATAGGCATGATGGTAATATGGATCAGTTAAAGGAGCAAGCAGATCCAATACGAGGTGGTGAGAGAAGAGAGGGTAAAGAAAAGGAGGTGTTTCAGGAGGTTAAAGGAAAAAGGCAGAGAAGAGAGTTTAAGCAGAAGGATGTGGTGTAAAAGCAAAGCCTTGAGAATAATTTTTTTGCTTTAAATAGGGAATTTGATGCTTGTCATTCTAAAGAGAAGGGGGAATGTTCGGAGATGAATTGTCAGTCTCTGAATGGGGTTCTGAATGTAGCTGAAGAGGTTAATGAAGAGCTGGAAGTTGATGCTAATAATAGACGGGGAGTTATGTCAGTTCTAGAAGGTGTGGGTCTATCGAAGAGTCAAGAGCCTCTTTGTTTTCCAAAAAGGCAGATACCTGCTCGGAATTCAGATACACTATTGGAGTGTGAAGGATCTTCTTTGGGAGTAGAGTTGGGGTGTATGGAAAATCAAATTTCTGATTCCAGTAAGGCAGAGTTAGTTGTGAATACGAAGGAAAATGAAAACCTGAGTGAGGGTGAGGGGGTTTGTTGGGAGATGTTGTTGTTGAGTCTGATCAATTACAGGAGAATGAGAAGGATTGTATGGAGGTTGAAAAGGAATTAGAAGAGGGAACGAAGTTAGAATCCATTTGTCTGGTAAACAAGCAGTATTGCCCTGTTTCGGATTCCTTTTTTGTAGACAGGCAATATGGTGTAAGGAGAGTAGATAATTATTCTCTGGATGATAATCTGGGTCTGGTAAGGAATAAAGAACCTCCAGATAAGGGCTTCCTATCTGATCAAAAAAGCTCTAAGTCTTGGGCTGATATTGTAGAAGACAGTAAGGATGCAGATGATGATTATGTGGATCCCTCTACTGTTCATACCAAGCTAGGTCTCGGATGTAATTCTTCTCCTACCCTCAATTTATGAATTTTATGGTTTTGAATGTGAGAGGTGCTGGAAAAAAGGTTTTGAGAAGCGGATTAAAGAAGTTAGTTGTTATGAATTGAGTTTGTTTTTTGGTTGTACTGGAGCCAAAGATGAATTCTGTGAAATTGAGGTCTTTTGCTTCATCTGTAGGGTTGAGATTTTTTGTGGCCAATTCCTTGGCCAAGAAAAATGTGTGGTTGTTGTGGAATGAGGATATGGAGGTAAAGGTGGTGATGGAATATGAACAGGCCATATCAGTGGTTGTGTCATGTTTAGGTTCTGAACCTTTTTTTGATAACAGTAGTGTATGTGTGTTGTGATCATGTGTTGAGAAGGCTTTTGTGGTTACATCTGCAAGAAGTCTCTTCTTCTTTCTCTATGGCATGGTTGGTCATGGGGGATTTTAATGCCATTTAAATTCTTCTGAGAGGCTGAGGGGTTCATATCCGTATGTTATGGCAATGGAAGAGTTTAGAGCTTGTGTTCAGCCTGAGGGTCTTATAAATTGTGGGTTCGAGCGAAGCAGCTATACTTGGTGTAATAATCATGATGGAAATTCTAGAATGTGGCAACGTTTGGATAGAGTTTTTATTTACTTTGATTGGGATGCTAGATTTGATAGCTCTCAAGTTATCCATTTAGCGAGGGGAAGTTCAGACCATTGCCCTTTATTGATCAAAATTATGGAGCAGTCAGAGCAACAGAGAATTGCTTATTTCAGGTTCCTGGATATGTGGACTGAGGACAAGTCTTTTTTGCCTTTGGTTTCTAGTAATTGGAATGGATGCTATTCTAATAATCCTATTGAGGATTTTTTTCTAAAGATGAAAATTTTTAAAATTTCATATAAAGAAGTGGAATAGGGAGGTGTTTGGTGATATATTTGAGAAAATTAAGAAGCAGGAGTTAGCTTTGAGTGATGCTGAGAAGGAGATGGAGTCTAATGGTTCAGAGGCTAATTTTGCATGGTTGGAATGTGCTAGGAGTAGTTTGGAGAGTAGACTGAGGTTAGAAGAGATATTCTGGAGGCAAAAAGCAAATGTAAAGTGGGCTTTGGAAGGAGAAAAAAACACAAAATTTTATCATGTTATTGCCAAAGGTAAGTCCAGAAAGGATAGAATCAGAAGAATAAAGTCTGAGAATGGGGAATGGTGTTGTTCTGAAGAGGAAATTACTGAGCAGCCTGTATCTTCTTTTTTTTTGTCATTATATAAGTCAGAAACTCATGATATACTGGAGGAGTTGTTTGATGTGGTGCCTAAGGAGGTGAGTTTTGAGGAAAATGAGAGGCTGATTGCAGCAGCAACTATGAATGAATTGAAAAAGGTGGTATTTTCTATGTCGGTGAAAAGTGCCCCAGGGGCATATGGGTATTTAGGAAAAAAATTTCAAGTAGCATGGGATGTCATTAAGCATGATTTGCTTAAGGCTACTAATTTTTTCTTGAAGGGTGGAGTTGTATCGAGGTCTGTACAAGGTTTTTACTAAATTGTTAAATAATAGATTGACTGTGATTTTACCAAGATTAGTTTTAGCAACTCAGCATGGTATTGTTAAAGGGATGAGTATTGGGGATTGTATATCTCTGGCTCAGTTTATGGTAAATGAGTTAGATAGGAAGATGGAGGCAGGTAATGTGGAGGTGAAGCTTGATATGATGAAGGCCTATGACCATATTGAATGGGACTTTCTATTAAAAGTCTTGAAATGTTTTGGTTTTTCAGAGTTATTTGTTTCTATTATAGGCAATTGTTTTAAGAATCAGTTTATTTCCATCTGTTTAAATGGTCAAAGGAAAGGATTCTTCCATACAACTAGGGGATTGAGGCAGGGGGATCCCATTTCTCCTTCTATTTTCATTTTGGATGAGGAAGTACTTAGCAGAGGTTTGTGTAAGCTGTATGCTGAGGGTGGAGTGAAAACTTTTCATATAGGAAGAGGGGCTGTTTTGATTTCGCATATGCTCTTTGCAGATGATACCCTATTATTTTTAAGGGGTAATAAACAGTCTTTGGAACACTTGTTTGGATTTTTGAGTAAGTATGAACAGAGTTCTGGGCAAAGAATCAGTAAGCAGAAAAGCTCTCTATTTGTTCTGCCAGAATTTCTCAGGGAAGGAGATTGGCTTTGTCTCGATTGACTCAGATCCCTTTAAAAGAGTGTCCTATTACTTATTTAGGATGTCCTCTTATTAACGGAAGGAGTAGACTTGGAGATTTTGAGGAGGTTGTTTTAAAGTTTAAGGCCAAGTTGGAAGGGTGGTATGCAAAATTGCTTTCTAATATGGGAAGAGTGATCTTGGTACAGTCTGTTCTTAATGCTGTCCCTATTCATTTGTTATCTTGTTTAAATCTACCTAAGGGTATTTTAGCAAGATTGAACTCATTGATGGCATCATTTATTTGGTCTGGGAAAGCTGGGGTGAGAAAGAGGCATTGGGTCTCTTGGAGTGATATTACTAAACCTAAGCAGGAAGGTGGTTTAGGGATTAGAAAACTGGAGGATGTACAGGCAGCTTTTCGATTGAAACAGGCCTGGGGATTCTGAAGGGGAAATCTTTGTGGGCAAAGGTTTTTGCTGCTAAATTCTTTAAGCATCAGCATATGATAAGGTGCTTGTCTCAGGGAAGGTCTAAGTGTTTTAGAGTCTTGCAGCCTTGGTTTTCTATTGTTGTTTCTAATTCACTGAGTATTGTTGGGAATGGTAGATCAGTGGACTTTTGGTGTTCAAATTGGCTAGGGTCAGGACCTTTGCTAAGAAGAATATCTGAAATACCACAATGCTTTCCCAAGGTGGCAGAGGTGTGTGAAGGGTCTGTATGGCAATGGCAGAAGCTGGGGGACTTGGTGACAACTCAAATGAAGGAAGAAATTATATCTTCTGGTGTATGTATTGATGAAAGAGATGATAGATTGGTATGGAAGCTATGTGATACTGATTTTTTTTCAGTAAAATCTGCATGGCAGCTAATAAGGTGTACTGGTTCAGAAAGCAGAACAGATTCAATAATATGGAAGCAGGTTGTTCCCCCTAGTGCTAGTTTGTTGCGTTGGAAGTTATGTAGGGATGCGATACCCAAAGATTCAAGATTCCAGCGAGTGGGTGTATGTTTAGCTAGTAAGTGTTTTTTATGTGAAAAGCAAGGGTATGTTGGATTTTGAGCTTATTGAAAATGAGGGACCTTTGTTGGGATTCATGCGATTGGTGAAGGTGTTCAAAAAACAGTCCTTAAGCCATATATTGTTAAGGGGTTTGTCTTTAATTGTTTTTTGGCAACTTTGGAGGGAAAGGTGTCGCAGAGTGTATGGGGAAGGAAGTGTCACTTCCTACTCTATTTTTTTGAAGGTCTGTGCCATACTTAGACTGCAAGCTTTTGGAATTAAGCTAGAAGTCTAGAGAGTGCTGCTGGGAGGAGGGTGCTATCTGAGTTAAGAATTGATGGTGGTACTGTTCAGGTTAGGGCTATATGGGTAAACTGGAACCCTCCTATGGTGGATTGTTTAAAGCTGAATGTTGATGGTGCTTCCAAAGGAAACCCAGGAAGAGCAGGAGGAGGGGCAGTAGTGAGAAATCACTAGGGGGCATTGGTTCTTGCTGCCTCATTCTTCTATGGGGAATGTTCCAGTATGGAGGCTGAGTTAAGAGCCTTAAAGGATGGTTTGTGTTTGATTGAGAGGTATGGCTTGACAGCTTATCAATTTCAAATCGAAGCTGATTCTGAAGCTATGGTGAATATGGTATTAAAAGGTCATTGGAGAGCTTGGAAATATTGGGATCTTCTTAGGCATATTTTGGAGATTTTGGGCAGGCTGCAGTATCGGTTTGGGCATGTTTACCGAGAGGCTAACTTTTTGGCTGATTTTTTCGCTAATGTGGCTGTGCTGCAAGGGTGTTCTACCGATTTTTCCCATCTGCTTGACATTCCTCCACAGGCAAAGGTGATATTACTTCGGGATCAAGAAGGGTTCAAAGTCTTGCGCAAGAAAATTGTTATTCTTTGATTCTTGTAAAGTTTTCTTGTTTTGAAAATTGTAAAGGCAGGCTTGTCTGTATTATTCATGATTGTAATTCTTTTCTCATGAAATAAAGTGTTGATTTGTTTAAGAAAAAAAAAGAGAGAGAAAGAGACAAGAAGGAGATGTTCAAGAGGAGTTAAGAAGTTGTTCCCTACAACGGTTTGTAAACGACATTCAAAGTATAGGTGTAAACCAAGTAGCCTATGCTTACTTCGAAGTCTAGGTGGTAAATATGTAGAGTTGGGTAAATTTTTTACTTGTATCTACCAAGCAAAACTTCCTCCATGTTATATCCTAGTAATTTGTCCCTTGCAGCAGGCAGCTTCTATTGTTTTCTGCATGTAGAGAGGCTTAAAAACAATTCATGTGAATTTTATGTGTTGCTTATTTGCTGGATTGTTCATCATCCTTCTTCGTATTCCTTGACATTCTTTCATAAAATCCTCAGGGCACCGAAGCATTCTTTAAATACTGAATTTTCTTGCATTGAAATTCATCCCTCCCAACAGGATGAAAGATTACATGGGCGGACAATTTTTGAGTGCCCGATACACATTGTTAACATCATATCACTATTGAATAATCTTATAATGCACTTCTAGTTGTAATGATGAAATGACCTATCTAATAGAATTCTACATCCAAACAGATTAAGGGTATACCAGTTATGAGTGATTAGCGAAACAAGAAAAGGACGATACACAGATCAATAATCTATTTACTTCTTTGTCCAATCAAGTTAAAGGCAGAAAGACATTCAAGCAGCTATCACTCCATATCGCATATTATCTATGAAATGCACAAAAAATACAATAATGTGCTAAATGACAAACATACTGACACATACTAAAGAAGCAGAATAACATGATTCATAACAAACTAAGGAAACTAAATACATCGAAATGTGAACATGTCGGAATAATGACGTCAAACAGAAGCATATAATTTGTATTTTTATAGAAAAATCTAATCAAATTCCTATAAAGCATTTCTTGCGATTAGAAGTCTTAAACACTAAAATCTGACTTCTGTCTAGAAACATAAAATAAGGAACAATTAGTTCTGAGGGAAGTGCACTAACCAGCAAGAGATGTATAGAGACTGAAGGGGATCTTTTGAGAAGGTAGAAGAAGAGATTCTCATTTGTGTTCCTTCCCAGATGTAGCAGGAACAAGAAAAACAAGATAGGCGAAAACGATTTACCGATGGTGTGCGTGCGTGCTCGCTCGTGTGCGTGAGGGAGGGAGGCAGGGAGAGTGAGCGAGAGAGACAGCGTGTGTGCTCTGGTCACCTCTTGTAACCATGGTTGAGTTTAGGATCGGCCTTTTTTGTTTTTTAAGTTGCATTGTTGGTTGAACAATGCGGTAAAGAAGGTAGAAAAAAATGCATTCCGGATATAATTTAGTCGCCTAAACGATTTGTAGTTGTTAGATTGAAACTGGATTTTATCAAATCTTAAAACTCAATTAATTTAATGCTCCGTTTACTATGATAAAAATATAGAAGAATGAAAAATTAGAAAAATAAATAAAACATCATGTTTGGTAAAAAAGAAAAATAGGAAGAGCAATGCTATTAGAACATAATTTATTGACCTAATTCACTATTACCTTTGAATTAACTGTGGGCTCTATTAAACATTGAAACTTGGTATTAATTCAATAGTTTTAACGAAATTACATCATTAAATTAGTAAATTATGACAAATTTTTAAGTCCAAATAACATTTTTCAAATATGAATAATGAAAAAGTTGATGGATTAATATTCCTTTCAACTCACCTAAATCAATTCCTCCAAAATCGAAAGAAAGTGAATGAAAAATTAATTATTTGTGTTGAGATGTATCTTATTTTTTTATATATCTTTTTATATATACATATATTATGTATATATTAATTTTATATAAAAATACAATAATAAAATATGTATATATATATATATATATATATATATATATTTTAAAAAAAAAAATTAAAATTAAAAAAATATTTTTTCCATCTTAACTAGGGATAAAAACTTTTAATTCAGCACGATGACACGACTCAAACTCGACACAAATTTTATGGCATGAACTTGATTAACTCAAACACGAAAATAAACAAGTCAACTCGTAACTCGACACGACAAAATTAGTTAAATGAGTTGAGTTATGTGTAACTAATGTTCAACACAAACACGTAATGACTCGACATAAATCTGACACGACACGACTCGATTGTCACCCTTAATCTTAGCCAGCAAAAAAAATAAAAAAATTTAGTTATTTTTATTTTTCATTCATCCGACCAAACAAAAAAGAAGGAAAGTATATTATTTCTACTTACTTCCTTGAAAGATAGAAAATGTATCATCCTACTTTTCATCCTTCCTACTTTCTATCATTCCTACCAAACGAAGTATAATAGTTATATCGAATTAAGTCTTTGATTATATCTAATCTTGACTCAAATTTTTATTTAAATTTGAGTAAAAATATTAATTTGATATAAAACACTCAAATTGGCAAACTTAAATTTAAATATGGACATATTCAAATTTAAATGAGAATGAAATTTAACCATTAATTTGAGTAAAGGTTTGAATCTCCTTTGATTTGGGTAAAAAGTTAATCTCTCTTAATTTGACATATGTTTGAGTATAAAATTGGGAAAGATTTTTAAGAATTTTTTTACTCAAATTTAAATTTAAAAACTAATAAAGGTTAAAATTGCTCTTAGATCCTTAAATTACTCTTAGGAAACCACTATTACCATCGCCTACCACCGTCCACACCCACTATCCATGATTGTCACTATCATTATCGTCACTCAAAATCCACAACCACTATCAATGTTTTTAGCCACGATTACCACCACCACCACAGTCGTTGCCGTTCACCACAAACTATCACTATCTCTCACCACCACCACCACTGCCACTACAACCCACCATCGATTACCCTCATTACAACTGATATTTAAATTTGTTTCTCTCTCCTGTATTTGTAATTTGATTTTTAGTGTGAATACAAATATGTATATGATTGATAATTTTTTTAATATTTTGTATTTTAGGGACCGACAATAATTAGTAATATAATATGCAATTTATATTAAGTTTTATCTTTAACTTAATTTTTATAGGCCGAAAGACAAACTCAACGTGTGCGCAAATGGTCTATTTAATCTAACTGACAGAAACAGCACAAGGCATATGTACGACAATAAACATATGAGAGTACAGAGGCTGGGACTAATATGGAAAACTGGTTAACTGCACAACTCCTTTCATTGACCTGTTTCGAGCAAGAGCATTTGTGGCTTGTGACTGGCATCCCGCTGCTGCATAAAGGGTGTGAGCAATATACAGAAAAATTGGGCAAACATACATACATACATACATACATACAGCATGGTCCCACACAGCTATTGGCTATATATAAAGCTCCATTGCTATCATGCGAGTGCACTTTCAAGTATGCACATGGTCAAGCTATGTATGATTTGTACTGGGCTACGTTTTTCACAAAAAAAAAAAAAAAAGAATTAAAGGACCTGTACAACAAGTATTCAGAAAAAGACAAGGCTACACCTCCACGATTGGAGTTTTATCTTTCTCGTTGAAGCAGCCAGTCCCAGTAGCCTTCCCTTGTGGTTTGGACAGCTAAGAGTTACTCCCAAGCAAAGATTGATTGATTGAACTTGTGATTAACAAAGAAATAGATACCCATGCGAGGTGATTTTGGCATAATATATGAAAAGAAAGGTACCTCTTGCTAAACTCGTGTTTATCTTGAAAATTGATGATCCTGAAATAAAAAAAGAATTTAAAATAGTTAAAAAGAGACCTAAGGAGTGGTGATTAATTATTTTAAAAATTGCTCAATCGATTCTGGTGGGTCGCAGGCGGTTCTTGGCACACGGGTTAAAAGGGCGCCGAAGTGTTTTTCGACGTATCATCTTCGATGATCAAGTCAGTTCTTTGAGAGAGAGGAAAAATAAAACACTGTTTGATGTTCTTAAGAGATAATTTTGCGTACCTTTACTTTATATTTTTTAGAGCTATTTATACTCCCAAAGGCTCATCATTACTGATGATCTAGTTAGTAGGTAGCACCTAGACATGGAACAATACGCCTCCTATTTTGCACAGGAGAGGCTCCATTATTAATTGCTCAGGCTCCCGAGCAATCAATACTCTCTTTTTGATGCAAAGGCATTAAATGCTTGGGCTTTAGAGCATTAAATGCTCCTTATCTTTGGCTTCCCAAGTCATAATAGGCGTCTCAACACTGAGGATTTATTAAATGTTTGTCTAAGATTGTCATATATCAGCAAGAGCATTTTTGTTTATCTACCCCTCATTCTGCACTTTATGTCATGCGTCTAACTCTCATTGGTTGAGTGTCTTGTTCATTCTATCATTTTGACCTTGTTGTGCAGAGCACCCTTATGATCCCTAATCTAGTTTAAACTAATTAACTGTCAATAAGTAGCCTCTTCAAAAGTCGAAGATACGTGGCAAGACCAAAGTTTGAATAAGTACCCTTGGAATAGAGGACATGTGTCCTTCTCTAAGTGGAGGTGCCCTTGAAGTCGAGGACATGCGCCTATCATAGAACAGGGGTACGTCGGTGCCGAATACACGTGTCATGTAGAGCAACAGAGTGCCTTTAGAGCCGTGGACTCGTGCCTTCATCCATGCAAAAGATGTGCCCTTGGTACCGAGGACACGTGTCTTCGTTAGAATACAAGATATTTCCTCAATGCCGATGACACGTGTTTGTGATCTACTCCCTTCTCATAAGAGTCTCATCAATACCCAAATGAGTTTCTTTGATATCGTAATGAAATTCATTACTGCAACTGGATGGTGAATTTATAGCTCAAGTAGTTTAAAGTTATAATAAAAAAAATTATTTAAAATTAATTCTAATATTTTATAGTCGACCGCAAAAAAGTAATAAATTTGAATAGTACCCCCCAACACTTCCCTTGGAACGTTTACAATAGAAATGATTCTTGTGTCTGTGATACATGCAAAAATTAAGAGGGAAGGAAAACAGAAGCCTTGTTTGCTGGTAATCAATCAGTCAATTGTCAGTGTCATGCCTACAGGTCAATGGCAAAATCATGGGTTTCACAAGAAAGCAATACAAGGATGGGATGGTATCACAGACACAAGTACAACACAAACACAGGGTGGTACAATTAAAACTTTTCGACTCGACTCAGACAAACCACCAAACAAGTTCTACTTCTACAAATACAATCCATATCTTGCTTGAAACATTGCGTAAGTTGACTGACTGTTCAACCATTCGATTTCCACACGTTACATGGTTCAACGATTTCCATTGTTGAAAGCTCGAAATAATCCACCATCAAATGGCAGAATTCACGGAACCCTTCTCTTTTCTCTTGAGGAAGGTAAGGTGGGGTGCCATTTAATAGTGAGAGATAATGACTGAATGCATTTAAAAGATGAAATTGGTCAAGGCAATGTGTCAATCTTTTATGCCTGCTCAAGGCTGTAATACTCTAAAGTTCATTACTAATACCTCTTCACAATTATCATTTGTTAAGGCCGTGGTGTGAGAGAGAATGGTTTTACAGAAGACTTGAGAATAAATCACCGCGATCCTCTATTTCCTAGTCTCTCGTATCAACAAAGCTATATCAAACCATGGAAGGCGGCTGTATCCAAGAGTGCTGCTTTTATTTGGCCACTTTGTACGTCCAGATCTCCCTTGCATTTCTAAGAAAAGCAAAAGAAGCATCGTTACATCCAGGCAACCATTAAATGAGCTACAACTAAAGATGTTGATCTTTCTCTTCTTTTTTTTGGCTAATATATGGTATATTTGGTGGGCATATTGCTGCCTATTTATTTACGCTATTAGGATTGGACGAATATGAAAAGCAGATACAAAGTGATTACCAGAAGAGTCCAGCCAGTAAACAAAAGAATTGCAACATGAAAATTCAAGAAGCAAGAAATAAAGAAGAGACTATTTTTCAGATAAATTCATCACTGACGTTATCTCATCAGGTGTCCGCGAAAGTAACTGAGCGGAACAATGAAACAGTAAAGATACAAAACCGGGTATTCCAACGTGAAGATTGATACAATTCCTTTAGTAAAGAATTATCAAAAGTCAAAGATTTAACAAAACTTCCTTGAGATTCATCAAAATAAGGAATATTGGTAGAGTCCTTGATTATCCCTTGCACATATACAATGGGAAAGGAAGCTTACCTCAGCTTTGAAAACATCCATGACAAACCCATTGAAACAACTGATAACCGCTTGTTGAACATCTAGCCCAAGGTTATCCAAGGCCATCATAGTGGAGAGCAAGAGACCAGGTCTACGAGTACAAAACATGTGGATATTGAACTCATTCCCTTCTCTTACCTCGACATGAATCTAAAAATCAAGAAAAAAAATATCCACATGTCACAACTACTGTTAAAAAATGAGACACAGGTCACTGAGAAGTGGTATTTACAAATATAAATATCATGAAATGCCACGGAAAACATAGCACGACCAACGGGAAAGTATACCAGCCGTCAAAGATAACTATCCTCCATTTAGAAGCTGCACTTTTACCAGCACAGGAGTTCATATGAACTAGTCTAAAGCCAATAAAGATAAATGGAAAAGCGCCACGATTGCAGTTACAGTCTAATGAAATGCAAGCAGGTAAAAGCAATTCTGAATGACTCGAAAATTTAAGAATGACGCATGAGTAATTAATGCTGATAACATTTGCCAATTATGAAGTAAAATTTAGGCTTGCTAGCAGACATAAAGAAAGGGTGATGATTAATAATAAATTAATTCCCATCTCAGGGGAATGGAGAACTGTAAGAATGGCCTGAGATTTACCCTAGGTTGCTGATAATTGGGACTTGGCAACGAGTTTCCGTTGTGTTCTTCCTTGATGTAGTACGGCGGAGTAGGTGCAGTGGGTGTCGATGGAAGAAAGCTTGCAGAAGACTGCAGTGAAGAACCAGGTGGTGTTGACTGCCTTTCGTCGTTGAGGTCCTTGATTCTCTGTAGTAACTCATTCAAATATTCAATGGCATCCGCAAGGATGGAGGCTCTATCCATCTATAAACAAGAGAATGTGTAAATTCCTGCATTTTTATTGTTTCTGAAGCAGGAGGTAACTGAATTATGTGGCCTCAAAAGTAATTCTATCACGGTCGAATAATGAATAAACCCCTCTAAATTCTAATTTGTAAACTATTTTGGTTGAATATTCTGATTTGAATAATTCAACTTTGAAAACAAGATAACATTTTTCCCCCACAAATCATACATTAATCTAGATGATTTCTTCTCCCGAATCTTAAGATGAGGGGAAAAACAGTGTCAAATGTATTTGAAATCTTCTGAATCCCCATTTTTGCGAATTCTAGTGCCTTGAGTCTGAACTCTTAGATGCCATCTGACATTTCTTATTAACAACAAAGAGTTTAGGAAAGTAGCAATACTAAATTAGAACACCATGGAAAAGGGGAATAGTTAATTTGAAAAGGACCCTATGAAAAAACTGTGGAATAGTGAATTGAACAACATTTCAGAATCTCAGATAACCAAGGCCCTCATGTAGAAGACATACAGGTGAGTATAGTGTCTGACCTTGCTAATCCTTGGGACAACAGACCTCAGCATGTAAAGCCTATCATTAACCTTCTTTCTCCGCCGCCTCTCTGCCATAAGATTTTTTGCCGGTAGTCCCTTCTTCTTGTCTTTCTTATTTCCGGTGATTACTGAAGTATTGTCCTTCGAATTATCCCCGCCATTATTTGCATCTCCCTCTACCTTGTAATCCTCTGTTTGGATATCAGAATCAGAAATCAAACTCGAGCTATCAATTTCGTCCATCTCACCCTCTCCAGTGTTGTGCTCCTTCCACAACATCCCTTGCTCTTCCTCCACCGGCCTTTTGCCCTTATCGCGGTCAACCACAGGAGGAATTTGCGAACCAGAAGCAGGCAAAGTTTCTAGAGGTCTCAATCCATTATCTCTATTTAGAAACGAAGGATCCCGATAACCATCAAAAGACTGTGAGCCCAATGCACTAAAACCACCGTCGATGGCTGCGCCACCACTATTTTGAAGCAAATGGGTCATAGAACCGGATCCTAAATCAAACTCAACTGTTTCTGGTAGTGGGTTTAATCCGTTGAACTCCACCAGCCCACCTTGTGCTCTGTTTATAAAAACAGGGGAATTGGAAGCTTGGTTTTCATGGATAGGCGGCTCAACAAATCCAGGGTCACAAAACAACTCGAAGGGGTTGTCTAAAGAGTAGTTACAAGCCAACTCGACGGCGCTGAGTAGCGATGACAAGTAGGGTTTGGGTGGGAAGAACGGCTGTGATTGAGTTGGGTCGAGACCCAACACCAGAGATGATGAGTCCATGGGATGCAAGAGTAAATTGTCTGGCAAACTACGAGTAGTTTGAGGGAATAATTGATGGTCGGTTTGTGGGCTTGGAAAGTTTTGGTGAAACTGAGTTGGGTGAAGGTGGTGGTTGCTGACGTTCCAGTTTGGGTTGCCCAGAATTGGGTTGAAGGTAGAGAGAGAATTCATTTCTGGTTTGATGTGACCCACTCTGTGGATTTTCTGGATTTGTTGTTGCTCGTCGTCTTGTTGTTGGCCTTGCTGAGGAATACAAAGGGCGCTGCTAGTTATCGGTTGCATATCTCAAAGTTTGGCTCGCCGCGGATTGGATATCAATGGAAGGAAAATGGAAAGAGCAGGAGGACGGAAATGGATTTTGATAACAGAAAGGGCAGGCAAAAGCGCATCAGGGTATTGAAGGGTAAAGGGGCTCGTCCCTCTACTGAGAAAACACCATCATGTGTTGGTGTTGGTGTTGGTGTTGGCATCTACTCTCGAGAAGGAGTCGAGTGATTCAGAGACTCGAATGCTTGGAACTTTATACTGTTTTTGCTGACACAATCTGTTTTGGTTCCTCCTCCCCTTTTATCACACCAGATTTGCAGCCTTTTGGTGGTCACCGCCTACTGGCTTCTGCATCTGAAAACAATGCTGTGGGACTATCAAAACTACAAAAGTACCCTTCAAGATATCTTCAATTTTTTTGCTCCATTGAGGCAGTATTCACAGGTCATTAGACATGGATTCCTTTGGCCTAAGTCCCTCTACTAGATTTGCATATAATATTCGGCTCCGACTCCAGGGATAAGACTCCTTAGAATATGGCTATATCCCTCAAAATTATGATCCTTTTTTATTTGAATTGTTTCACTTCGATTTTGGTGTAAATCTAGAATGAATAAGGTGTAAGGTTCAAAGTCCTCGTTTTTTTTTTTTTTTTTCCGCACGGGTAGTTACTAATATATATCATATATCACTGAATGCTTGCAAATCCATTCAATCACGCCGACGCTATTGATAGATCAATGTGAAACTAACTCCCTTTGAACATTATAAATCCTTTTCAAATTTATAAATAATGAAATGTCGATAGAAGAAGTATATCCTAAACTGGTTATGATTGAAAGTTGTTTTGGAAAGCAACGACTCCTCCATCCTTCCCTGTGTGTCAGTGTGTGCAAGGGAATTGAGAGAAACGTGTTAAAAGTTAAAATGAAAATGACATTTTCGGTCATAAATAGAGCAATGAAAGAAATTAAGGAGGCAATTTGTGAGACTAGTTAAGTCAGAGAGGATGTTGGCAATTTGGGAATAAATTGAAAACTCCAAGTTTCTTGTGAACTCTCGCTATCGCTTCACCTAATACACACTTCTCATCCATCAACCCTCTCTTCTCATCGTTTCTGCATACCATTACCAACCAGCTTAGCCTGCTGTTCTCTATGTCTATGTGAGCCTCTAAGTTTTCACATTCAAGTGTAGGATCTCTAAAAGTGGATTTGACATAGGGAAATGGGTGCGGTGGTGCGTCCACTTCTATATTCTCAGGAATTCCTCTCTTACAGTGTTGAAGGAGCTGGACTTGTCTGAAAGAATTTGAAGATGATCCCATCCATGCTGGCCACTCGATCGAATCAATTCAGATCGCAACTGGATAGTCATACCATAATTTCTGGTAAGAACTTGATGTTATTTTTGCAACACACCCAACACTTAAGACGCTGAAGCAGAAGAATAGAACCGCCGCATATGCACGGGCTGTCATTTGGGAAAGTTCACTCCACACCACACCACACCACACTCTACTCAATCGGTAGAACACCCTTCTAGAGGGTGTCAGCTGTTGCAGTACGTACTCGCGTACGCGAGGGTCTTGTTGTTAAAGATTCTTGACCTGCGCATCCTGAGTGAGTTAATGATCATGAGTTGCGTGGTCTAAACTTAGATGTATGAGTTAGAAAGTCCAAACTTAAGCTTGGCAAATTTTTGGTATCATCAACTAGTCGTCGTCTCCAAACTCTGCACAGCACAGGCACAGGCACAGGCACAGTGGAGTCCTAGATCTGTAAGAATTAATTATGTGCATGTTGAAGGGCTCCGAATCAGTTTCCTTACATCTTGCCATCTTTGGGAAGAAGCAGAAAAAAACAAAAGGGTTGGGGAGTTGTTTTTGATTTTTCACATCACAGCCACAGGTGTGATGGGTTTAGTTGGTTACTTTGCCATAGACATCCTCATTATCCGGATTAAATTACCATTTTGACCAAAGAATGAAAAAGATGAAATTGGGTTGGGGAGTTGTTGAAGGGTCTGAATTTTCACCAGACAGACTTAGACTTGGTCCTATCCTAGACGTTACATCGGTCTGTTGAAATGTGTGGAAGGAACAGAACAGCTAAGTAATTAGGCATGTAATCCGATTTGAGTTAAGGGAACTTTGGTTATACATAGTTACTACATAATATATCCAAAGATAATGCATGCAACACCGCATTAAAATATTTGAACTATAATTCACCCAATTGAATTAATTCCACAACTAACCCTAAAACAGCCAGCCAGCCAGCCCCTTTCCTGCCTTCATCCATAAAATTAATATGTAATTTTTATTATATAAATTTTATCTCTAAAATATTCGGTTTATTTTTAAACGAGATATACGTAAGGGGGGGTGGGCGTCTACTCTCTTGATGCGTTCAGACTACAAATGGATTGTTGTCTTGCCTGCCTGCAATCACCGCTGCATATTCCTTTCAATCTGTAGCTGCCTGACAAAACTCCAAAAAGAAGACGATCAATCCAACTGAACTAGAGAAAACCCACTTCATTCCGCTCTTTCTTTACTCAATCACTCCTCTGATGGCTGAGTTACAGCCGCCGGAAGCCCCACCTGACCCCGCCCCAACCACCACCACTATCACTGCCGCCACTCCAATAGTACCCGTTTCCTCCGAAATCGACAACACCACCAGCAATATCGGCACAAGTTTAGGACCAAAACGCCAACGGCGGCCGAGTGTCCGCCTGGGCGAGATCGGAGACCCACCAGCCACTATCTCCAACGATTCTCATCCCAGACTACCCAAAACCACCTGGAAATTTCATAAACACCCGAGGTTAGTCACTAAAACCTCCAAAACTCGACCTTTGACCAACCTCGTTAACGGGGGTGATAATTACCATGATAACCTGGACACCAACACCACACACAACCTCGAATTCGGTAGCCGAATGCCCAAATTGAAAAAACCTACAAAAAAAATACGAACCAATTTGGCGGCCGTAGCCTTGAAACTCGACAACGGCGGTGTCGTTGGGGATAATAGTAGACAAGACAATGACGATGGAAAAGCGTTCAGGGAATTCGAAGCAGAGGATTATTCGGAGAGTCCGGTGAAAGAACAGAGCCCAGTTCAGTCGATTGACAATGCGGAGTTGGATTTTTGGCATCGGAGGCCAATTAGGGCTAGGGTTTCCAAGAGTCGTGATGATGAGAATGGAAAGCCGGAATCGGAATCTCGGGAGGAACGGAAATGCGTGACAAGCAATGAAGGAGTAAGAGATTGGCTGATTGGGCTTGGATTGGGGCGTTATGCGCCGGTTTTCGAGATACACGAGGTGGACGATGAGGTTCTACCCATGTTGACATTGGAGGATTTAAAGGATATGGGGATAAATGCTGTTGGTTCGAGGCGGAAAATGTACATCGCCATTCTCAAGCTTCGGAAGAGGTTTTCGTGAAGGGCATTAACAATTCATGGCAGGAACAAAAAACTTCAATGCATGTCTGAGAAGAGGAGAGAGGTTTGAGTTTATTATTTTTGTACCTTTTTTTTTAGGATTTATTTGGGTTTTCTTTTTTCACAAAAAATAATAATAATAATAATTAATGATATGATTTTTGTAGTAGTAAGTTTTGGAATTGAATTGGTTGGTTCTTACATCATTCAAGAGAGTTTTTGGAATTCTATGTTTTTTCATCTTATTATTGCCAAAGAAAAGAAAGACAGACCTACCTTGAACTTGTTTCTGTACGGCATGGCGTGGCAGGAAGCTCTCAATTGCATACATGATATATCAATGTTGACTCTCCTTAACCCAAAAAGTTTACAAACAACATATTTTTTGCCTTCAATATTTATTATCGGCTATTCTTTTTTTTTTTTTGTTTTTCTCTTTGGTTTGATACCATACCTGTCTTTTATCCGATTCTTAAGTTTAAGTAGGTGGTGTTGTGTAAGCATATATTCAGAGAGGGACCCGGATAAGTTTTCATTAAAGGCCTCAAGAATTTGAGAAAAGTTAGGTGGTCTAACTAGATTTCAGTCATTAGGAAGTGAAACTACAATTTCGTAGTTGCTGATATTGTTAACGTGCTAGAGGACCGCTACTTCTTTTGAGTCACCCCAAACTTTTAGTCCATTCTCTTTAACAAAAGCTTTGGCTACCAAAGGAGAAATTTCTGCTTCTTTAAGTCCAGTAGTAGTAGGAGTAGCTACGACCATGGTGGCAGGTGTATTATGGATAATCTGGCATGCTGATCATGAATAAATATCCATGCCATGCCATGTGTCCTTCCATCGTTGGGTGAAAAATTTGAATATCCGGGTTTGAGAAAAAGAGTGAAACTTGTTTTTTTGCTTGTTTTGACCTCAAATTTAAATTGGGCAAAGGTTTGCGAAAGGATGGGAGATGCCCCTGCTAATCAAAAGTTCCTCTGGAAAAGGTCGGCAGGCCGACTTTTAAGTTAAACTTGGTATTTGGTCATCTCAAACCGAGGAAGGAAATAAATATAAAATTCTCTAAACATCATGTTTGCAAGAGTTGAACAGCTTCTTCATCTGCTATTCAAAAGCTTTATCTCTCCTCTTCGATTTTTCTGTGCTTAAACTAAAATGCTCGCACATGAGCTCCTGCCTTCTTTCCATAGAGGAGCAAGACACTAACTTCCTAAATGACTGGAAACTTGATTATAGAGGAGCATCATTTATCAAGCATATCATCACATAATTCGACACCCAACTCGGCAAAGACCAAAAAGAATCACAATATGCTCTCTCCCAGGATATATGCACAAGGGCAAGGGCATGAAAAAAATAAAAAGGTAAAAAGGCAGGTCCGAGTAGGATAAAACTAACTTGTATAATAACCCATCCCCTGAACCCCTACCTCCTGCCAATGCAGATTTACTTTCAAGGCCTTAACCAGGGCTTGGTCAATGGCCTTGCAATACCTAAATTTCTTGTTCGTCCAAAAACCCAAATCTGAAAACATGTAAAATGGTTGGCCTAGCATGAAAAATATTTGGTGTAATTGAATAAGGGCCAGACCATCCGTACACTACATACAATTTCCGTAGAACCAATGATGCTGCAACCCACAGTCAATAACACTATAGGTGTAGACTACCATCATCCGGTGAAAAGATGAAAGCATCCTGTAGATTCATTGTAACGTTTTTGGTGATTTCACCGTGGTTGGCAAGCAGCAGTGCATTGCAACAGATGATAGGCCAATTTCTCATTCAGTGAGGAATTTCTACACAAAAAACCACCAAGGAATTCGAAAAGACTTGACAACAGCTTATCAGTGCACGTGAGACCAAGTCATTTCAGATAAAGAATGTCATAGTGGCCCGGTCGGTATAGCAAGGTAATAAATGGATTGATGGGCTCAGGGCCACCAACAGTGGCAGCATCAGCGGGCAGATCACCAGTGAGAGGAGTGAAATCATGATGATTTACACTTACAACACCATTATCACATGAGCTGCGGTCTAGATAAACAACACGAATTGGCACACCCAATGCATCTGACAGGGCTGTAATGTGCACATGGTCACTCTCTTCGCCCATTGGTTCCACAGACGACTTGCAAAACTACATCAAAAAGGAAGCCATAAGAAAAGACATGTAGGGGTAAAGAACACAAAGTTTTACCAACCAAAGGGACCGTAAACATACTCTCAATCCATAAAAACAAATGAAAGGGGGGCAATTTAGTAGTAGGAAAAAACAAATGAAATCATTGAATTACAGATGTGTGATTGCAAGGGGGGCAATTTAGTAATTTTGACAAAACAACACTTCCAATTCTACAATATAGTCATTTTCACCAACCATAAGTAGCACTGTAGGCCAGAGGCAGCGAGGTGCGATCCATGGATCAAAGATCAGTTGCTTACTTCTTTTTGCACTACAATTGTCTGATAATAATGGTTCCTCTCCCTCAAGACAATAAAAAAATTTCTTGAGCTTTGTGCACATACACAGTGGAATCTATTATCTTTTCCTGTTGTTTCCTTTTTTATTGGACAAATGCCGAGTTCCCAGATCTACAATCAATACCTATATCTTTTGTTAACGTCAAATTATTCAACTACAAAAACAAAAAGATGATGCATGACAAGATAACTAACCTGTTCTACCGTCGCATTGGTCAAACCCAGTATAAATGGCTCGAAAAATTCCGAGCGTTTGCGTATTTCACCGGAGGTAACGAATCTGAAGAACATAACAACTAACGAACAAAAAATGTTAGGAGGTATATAAAGGTAAAAAACGCCACATGTTCATTTGCCCAGTGTCTTCTCCTCCAAAATACTCAAAATTGGTTTCGTCAATGTCACTCACCATAGTCAGATACCGACTGATCTCGACTTCTCTGTACGAGTTCATCGTGACTGAAACCAGAAGAATCATATTAACTCCAGTCTTTCAGCTAGTCGATCAAAATAAATCAATGTGAACATCTATATCTTCTGTAGGGAAGTTTTAAGCATAAAGTTTCAACAAACCTAATGGAAGCTTCACTCCCTTGAAGAACACTTTCAAGCTGTTCGAGGAACAACTGAAAAGATTTACACGAATTTAAAATTAGAGGTGCAGAAGCAAACACGAAGGAAAAAATTTCATTTGAAAACTGACAGGCTAATCAAAGTTTGAACATTAGAGTGCAAAACAGCTTAAACAAACAGAATTGACATGACAACAATCAAGATATCTCTCCATTTTCTTTTCCTAACCTCCCCACACACCCAAAAAAAAAACCTCAATATATGTGCTGCCAAAGCGCCATCAAAATTATAGGAAGGAGAAAAAATGGTAAGATCTTCTCACGAAATTATAGGATCCAAAAGCTCTTTTTCCTATACCGGTTTCTACTAAGAAATTGTAGGGTAGTTCAGATTGTACTCCATTGAAAAAGATTGCAAAACATCCACAATGAACAACAGCTAGTCAGCTAAAAATCCTCTAACTAGTCAATATGTCCAAGGTTTATTGTCTACAAAAAGCACTTTCTAGTGATTGCAGTAAATAAAAATGACATTTTTAGGACTCCACAACTTCGCCAATACAAGTATAGAATTCAAACTAGTCACGATCCAGATGAATTCCTTCTTTGTCCTCTTATGGGCAGATGTATAGACTTAGAACATTTTTGAAAGTGATATAGAAAAATAGGGGGGGGGCTCAAACTCAGCTTAACAAAGCCTTATCCAAACTATTTAGGGTTACCTGCATGAAACTTGATGATACACAAATTGGTGTTGGGCAAAATCAACAATCAAGAATATGCACGGGTGCAATTAATAAGCAGTAAATAGGATAATCAATGGCAAAACAGTAAATAAGAGCGAACAAGCAGATTTGTAATGGTTCAGTTCAGGTAACCTACTCCACTCTCAGGAACGACAGCGGTGGCCGGAGATCTTTATTGATGAATAGTGTAACCGAAAAAGTAACTCCAGTGTTTTACAGTGCTTTGGAGAGAGAGAGAGAGCAATGTGTGTAGGAAGGTATATTATGTGTAGGGATCTCAAGGTGATGAAGGTCAGCCCTCCATGTGCAGAGGACTTTCATTATATAGGTTTACCAGGGCAGTGAGGTGGTGACGTGAGAAAGGAGGTCTCTATCACTTTGGTAAGTTCCATTTTAGTAAGACTCAATCTCCATCCCGAGATTCTTTTCCTCGTGCTCCTATTCACTCGGAGAGGGATACTGGATTGATCTTGATCTTGATCTTGGACTTGACTCTGAGCCTTGCTTCGAGTTGGTGTGGCTGGAATTGTATTGGAGCACCGAAGCCAAGAGAAGCAAAGAGGAGGCGGCGCCCAACGGGCTGCCATGCCTTCCTGCTTTGGGCGTTGGCCTTGGGGCTTTGGGTGTTGAACTCTTGATGCCTTCATTTCTAATGGGCTGACCTTGCTCTGTTTGGGCTTCCTTGGTTTATTTGAATTGAGCTTAGCCCAGTAGAATTCGGGCTCATCAAATCTTATGATGAGATTATGCTTAGTTTAGGGTCATTCTTTTGTTAAATAAAGAGCTATCGCAGACTTCTTCATTATCAAAGTCAAAAGGGTGGAACATTGAATTGACCAAGACGCACATAAACAGATTCATAGAGCACATCAATCAGCGGATTTTTGTTGAACTGGTCAATTTATCGTTCTTTCTAACAATTGATTTATGGTGACCAGAACAATGTCGATTTCAGATTCTCTGGTTGATCGATTTCTTTTTGCATCTAAGTTCATTGACATTGTGTTTTTTTAATGCTTTCGTGGAAATGAACGGTTCTATTGCTAGAGTAGTTGGTCCATCTACAAAAGAGCAGCAGGATGCTGTAGACACCATCGACTCGGCTGTTCTTGCTCCACCTCATCGCTTGCCCAGAGCAAGGGAGGTCAGCTTTAGCTTTATGTCTCTGGTGGATTCTTTTTTCTCTGGAGATCTTCATCTCCCCACTGCCATGTCACCTCTTACAAAGCGCACTCTCTGTTCTCCTTAAAGTGCTTCTTCTGTACAGACATTACCTCTTTAGCAGATGTGTGAGAGGGTGTGCTTTGTAAGAGGCGTGATGGCATTGGGGAGATGAAGATCTCCAGAGGAAAAAGAAGAAGAATATCCCCCCCCACCCCAAAAAAAAAAATTGTCCGAAGACATAAACTTAGAGCTAAGCTCCCTCACTCTGGGCCGAGGAAGAACAGCCAAGTCAACTGTGTCTGCTGCATCCTGCTGCTCTTTCGTAGATGGACCAACTACTTGAGCAATAGAATCATTCCTTTCTTCGAAAACATGAAAAAAATGCAATGTCAACAAACTCAGACACAAAGGGAAATTGATCGATCGGTGAATCCAAAATCACAATTGTTCCGGTCACCGTTAACCAATTGTTAGAAAGATGAACAATAAATCAAAGCAGTTCAACAAAAAAAAACACCGATTGATGTGCTCCATGGAACCGATAACTTTTGTACCTATTCTATTGCAACCTGCAAATCTGAAATTATAGGAACAATAGATTGTTAAACCACTATACTCTGTATGAAGTCTATGAAAATGACAGAATTGTCTCTATTCCACAACAATAGACTGATTTCTCATGTTCTGCCAATTTTCAACAAAAACTGACTTGAAAACATTGCGAACTCCGACAAAAGTAGTCTATCTCTGCATAAAAGTTGGCGAGACATGTACAAAACGATATGCAAAAACAGAAACATCCTATAATTGAAAACCTATATAAATATTTAAAAGTCAATAATTTTCCATCCAAACCCATGGCTCACTAAACAAGCCTATTGCTACAGAGAGGCAGCTTTGCAATTTGACACACTTTAACAGCTAAAAAATCCATCAGGGAGAGACATTTTTGCAATTTAAAAACATTCAACAGCTAGTACTTGTTACTAGCTTATCTGCAGTTAGATATATAACCTCCGTGGAAGACATAGAATTTTGAATATTAATTACAGATGATGTTTAAGGCCTCCAAAATTTTAAGTGGATGGAATGGAACCTTTAGATGTTCTAAGTATCAAGACCTCTTAATCAACAAAACAATGCAACCAATTTAATAATCAAAAGTATTAAGTTTACCGCAAAAAAATCTTCAAACGTGAAGTCTGCATAACCTAAACTCTGAAGTGTTTTTCTGCATTCCTCCACATTGGCTGTGATGCGATCAACTTCTGCTCGATCTTGTGAATTCAGAATATGCTCCTAATATTGGTAATTAACAATCTTTAGTAGCTAAAATTACAGTAACTGAATTTTCCTCTAGCCATAGTCATAATGGTCGAGAGGCTAAGAAGTGATTGTAAGACGTAAATACAAAAACATACAAGGTAAGCAAACATAAAGCTTCGAAAAAAGCAGTTTCCATCTCCCCTTGTTCTCCTGATGGAAGCATACTGTTCACTCAGCACCTGCATAAATGTGCAAATATATTTAAGTAGCCACAAGATGCAAGAAGAACCAAAAAGCTAAAATGACGCGAAACCTTTATTTTCTCGAGCAAAATAATGCTTCCTGACTGATATTCAGCTTCCAATGACGAGAGAGGTTCCTGCAAGCACATTGCCCTGAAGATTATTAGTTTTTACACGTAAATTCATTGAATAATTGAAAATTGCATAATATTATAAAGATAAGAATTTTGATTATCTACAGATAAAGGGGAGCAAGCTGGAGTGGTGGTACAATTTCCACTTTACTGCACCATTCATTTTCTAAACAACAGCACTAGTGAAAAATAAAAAGGAAACTAAACTTTAAGATTAGCATTGATCTATCAAAAGAAAAGGCAAACTAAAATTCCAATTGCCAAATCTTTAGGGATCAAATTACAATGTAGCTTGCTCAGAAATTTAGGATCCAGTAGGCTGCTGACTCAAAGCTGCTTTCAAACTAATCAGAGATAGAATTCCAACCCAACAGGAGTTAACATATTCTTATTCAGCATATTTCAGTGGTTATGTGAATTATAAGCAAAAAAATGGTAGACAAGTTACGGCTACTGAAGAAAGAAAGTGTGTCTGATCATATGATAGATCATAGAAAGCATGTATGGTATAACGTTTTTTCCTTTTTTCCTACATTGGCAAGTGATAATGAGAAAGTATCAGCTAATTAAGTATTAAATGGAAGATTCGTGCAAGCACCCAGGGGCCCAGGCAGGGGGGGAAGAATTTAACATGCAACAACATTCCCCTCCATTAAACTGAATCAGAAAACATTAACCAAGCAATAATCAATTTAAAGTTATCTAGACAAAGGTTTATCGTTCAGTGCCAGACAATGTTCTTGCCTTGTCACCCACAAACGGAATTTTCTCAGCTTCCTCAGCCAGGATAGCAGATTGCTGTTGCATAATATCATTGTCCTTGAAATTTGCCCAATCATCAACTTCAGATGCTTGAACAGAGGTCATGGACTCCATCTCAGCATCTGTTAGGAGCCCCTCCTGTTTCTGCATCTCCATCTTTGGTGATTAGAAAAAATCACGTGCTTCTCCAATCAACCTTGAATGGGAATATAAAATCATATTATGTGCGAGCTTTAATCTAAACTAACAGTCTGTTAGCAGCAAAAATATAAAGGATGGGAAGCCTTCCTCTGCCCATAAGTAAAATGCATCCAGAAAATCTTAGTAGCAATGAAGGTTGCAACAATTATAATTTTGGAACATGAAGTAGGGTTATAGATATAGGAAAAAGGGGGTTAAAGGCATTTAACAGTTGCAAAGGCAGGTTAACTACATGTAGTTGGTGGAGTTTTTTTACATGTTTCCTAAAACATCTAAACATTACCTACTTTAGCTACTTCAACATAAATTAAGATATAACAAAAAAAAAGTTAAAAACCACCTGTAAATCAATGTAGGCTTTCCATCAGAAGCCTTGTATATCTCAAAACCAGATTTTGTCATTCACCAACAGAAAAAAGGCTGGGGAGTAATATGCCAAAGATCACCCATGGCATCAAATCTATAAAGCTAAACCAAAATCCCAAAATGCCAGGCAGCCAAAGTATCTAGGTAAAACTTAGTAAACAAAGCCTCAAATCCTTTATTATACAATAGCGAGGATCCGGTAAGGATTTGAGCCTAGATTCTGTTGGTGATGGATAAATGGAAATGGGTGTCATAACAAAGATAAATTTCCCTCAAAACAGATTCAATTTTGGAATCCTTACAACAAAAGAATAAATAACATAAGACTGCTTAAGCTAATAAGCTCCATCGGCAAGCCAAGAACAGTCTCTCTCTCTCTCTCTCTCTCTCTCTCTCCAAGAAAAAAAATCAAAGAGTCATGTACGCAATACATGTGCACACAGGAAGAACAAGGATCCATCCCCAGTTTGATTTTGACAACAAAACACAACTGTATTTTCTAAAACCGAAGCCTTAAAAGAAGCACCTGCAATTAGGAACCTTGTCCAAACATGTTTTATAAATCTTAAAAGATGTAAATGTCTTACATTCATTCAAACATCTTTGGCACTTGCAAATTTTTCATTGAAACAATCTTAAAGTCACATAAACTGATAATTCCTTTTGCCTTCTCTACCACTCTAAGTCATTTTCAAGTTAAAGCATCTCCAATACACAGTGTATTCTCACTCAACTCTCAATTTTAGAGAGCCAACCATAAAAAATAAGCTCCAATAGACTCTATTTAGACCAGCTAAAATAGAGAGTGCAATTTGGCTCTCTATATCTGGAGAGTCAAACTCACCCTCCGCTCTATAATTAATTAAAGAAAAGATGACAGACATACCTTTTTCATTAAATGCTTTAACTATAAATGCTATTTTGCTACTAGAATGGAGAGTTCTATTGTAGTTACTACAAAATTTCACTTTTTATTTTAACTTTTTATCAAATATACTCTCTATTTTAAAAAAGATGGTCTCTATTTTCTAAAATAGAGACACTACTGGAGATGCTCTTAGACATTGACACACTTTTAAAAATCGAATAATCAAAAGTGTCAATTTTTTCCCCATCCAGAAACATACTCTATCCAACAATCCTCTTAACAAATTAGTCTTTCTCACAAGTAGATTCGGTTGGTGTTGCTTGCAATTTGACAAACCACTTTATAGAATTTTCTCTCACAATTGCCCTCAACTGCTACGAGTAGCATTATCATTCGTTGGATTTCACAATAGTCCAAACCTCAAACCCATGATTTGTGTTCTCGTGATTTCAATAAGTTTGTCCATCTTGATAAGGCATCTTGAAGAAAGTCACAAAAGTGGCCAAAAATTCTAACATGTAATAGGGGGAGAGAGAAAGAGACAACAAGGAGATGTTGAAGAGGAGTTAAGGAGTTGTTCTCTACAACGGTTGGTAAACGACATTCAAAGTCTAGGTGTAAACCAAGTAGCCTATGCTTACTTCGAAGTCTAGGTGGTAAATGTGTAGAGTTGGGTAAATTTTTTACTTGTATCTACCAAGCTATACTACCTCCATGTGATATCCTAGTAATTTGTCTCTTGCAACAGGCAGCTTCTATTGTTTTCTGCATGTAGAGAGGTTTAAAAACAATTCAATGTGAATTTTATGTGTTGCTTATTTGCTGGATTGTTCATCATCATTCTACGTATTCCTTGACATTCTTTCATAAAATCCTCAGGGCACCAAAGCATTCTTTAAATACTGAATTTTCTTGCATTGAAATTCATCCCTCCCAACAGGATGAAAGATCACACGGGCGGCTAATTTCTGACTGACCGATACGCATAGTTAACATCATATCACTATCGAATAACCTTATAATGCACTTCTAGTTGTAATGATGAAATGACCCATCCAATAGAATTCTACATCCAAACAGATTAAGGGTATACCAGTTATAAGTGATTAGCGAAACAAGAAAAGGACGATACACAGATCGATAATCTATTTACTTCTTTGTCCAATCTAGTTAAAGGCAGAAAGACATTCAAGCAGCAATGACTCCATATCGCATATTATCTATGAAATGCACAAAAAATACAATAATGTGCTAAATGACAAACATACTGACACATACTAAAGAAGCAGAATAACATGATTCATAACAAACTAAGGAAACGAAATGCATCGAAATGTGAACATGTCGAAATAATGACGTCAAACAGAAGCACATAATTTGTATTTTTATAGAAAAATTTAAAATGTAAAATGAAACTTCCTCCTCTAATCTAATTCCTATAAAGCATTTCTTGCGATTAGAAGTCTTAAACACTAAAATCCGACTTCTGTCAAGAAACATAAAATAATAAACAATTAGTTCTGAAGGAAGTGCACTAACCAGCAAGAGATATATAGAGATTGAAGGGGATCTTTTGAGAAGGAAGAAGAAGAGATTCTGATCTGTGTTCTTTCCCAGACGTAGCAGGAACAAGAAAAACAAGGTAGGCGAAAACGATTTACCGATGATGTGTGTGTGTGCGCGTGCGCGTGCGTGAGCGAGAGAGAGAGAGAGAGAGAGAGAAAAAGAGAGAGGGCCAAATTGGGTGAATTAAAGGGGGAATTAAAGGGGTGGAAAAATCAACGCAAGTGCAGAGAGAGAGAGAGAGAGAGAGAGAGAGAGAGGTAGACAAAACCTGACAACACGCTTCAGGGACGTGATGCCGATGCCTTTCAAACGCTAGATCAAAACCTGGCCACTTCTTGTAACCATGGTTGAGTTTATGATCGGGCTTTCAAGTTGCATTATTGGTTGGAAAATGCGGTAAAATGCAGTAAAGAAGATAAAAAAAAAAAAATGCATTTTTGATATAATTTAGTGACCTAATCAATTAGTAGCTGTTGGATTGAATGTGGATTTTATCCAATCTTAAAATTTTAATTAATTTAATGATTATATTGAATTAAGTCTTTAATTATATTTAATCTTGACTAAAATTTTTATTTAAATTTGAGTCAAAAAATAGACAAACTTAAATTTAAATATGGACAGATTTAAACGAGGATTGAATATGATTATTAAATTTTTAAAAGATAATAAAATTTAATCATTGGTGATTTGAGTAAAAGTTTGAGACACCTTTGATTTGTGTAAAAAGTTAAGTCTCTCTTAATTTGACATCTCTTTAAGTATAGAATTAGTAAAGATTTTTAAGGGTTTTTTTTACTCAAATTTAAATTTAAAAAATGGTAAAAGTTAGAATTGCTCTTAGGTCCTCAAATTAGTTTCTTATAGTATTGCTAGTAATAACATGTGTCTGAAAGCACTAAACAATTAAAAAATCTCGATCACCGATTTTGTATTATTATTTTCTTTAGTTACACAATTCAAAATTAATTTGAAAACACTATTTTTTTAAAAAAATTGACAAAATTTCTCCAAAAATCCACAATTTATTTATTTGATCATTATACCTAAAAAAATATCTTCTTTTTTTTGTAAGAGTCGATATTGACATGTGTGTGTTGGTGGCTGTATAGAGAGAGAGAGAGAGTTATATGAGAGATGTGATAAACTTATAAGAGATGAGAATATGATATATAAAGAGAGATTAGGGTATTAATGAGTATTAGATGTATTATGTTATTATATTGACCGTTAGATCATAATTTTTGAGATGATTTGAACTGTCTTTTATGTTGAAATTACATTGTCCGTTGGATGTGTTTTCAAAACGATCTACACCTCTCTTTATCTCCAAAATTTAATTTTCGTTCTACTTTATTATATAAATCGTTCAAGAACATATCTTTTACAATTACACGTTAAAAATTTGTTAGCTTTAACAATTTTACAAAAATTTTACTCCTCTATCCGATAAAAAATTAAACCCATATTCCAAATCCCAAATACTAGCTCAAGCTCATACCCAAACTCAAAGAGTAATACTATACAATTTAAATAAAACTCAAAAAATTATAAAATAAATATATATCATTTCTTGAATGAGTGAAATCTGATCAATTTTTTAGTATAATCCACTCATCCAATGGATGAGATGTATTTAAGTTATTTTTAAATTTCATTTGAATTATATAGTATTTTTCAGACTTAAATCTCAACTTAGATTTATCTCACTTTTCCCTTCTCTCTATATCCCCACACTGCATAGCCCCCCCGCCCTCCCCTATCTCCCACTGTCAACACCCGCTTCTCCTCTAATTTATTGACACCACCACCACCTTTTTTTCAAAAACTTCCACCCGTGCACAACCTCATCCTCTCCCACCTCCCATTATTATGGTCATTGGCCACCACCACGACTCTTCTCCTCCAAATTACTATCACTCGGGATGGTAAATGATTCAAATTATTCAAGATTATAATATTTTATTTTCCTATGATATGTCTCAGACTTGGTTCGTTCAAACTTATTCGTTTTGATATACTATTCAAATACGAACCACTATTTAGGTCTATTTATAGTAAAAGTTAGACCCCAGTAGCTCATTTTGATTTTCATAAAATTTCTCCGCTGTTCAAAATATACATACTCGAATGGTTTGTTTTTTTTTTTTTTGACAAAGAAAGAACACACACACTCTAATGGTTATTTGGGTAAAACTAACAAATCTAACTCAATTAAAAGACTCTAATTACGTGACTCATATGTGACTGACTCCCCCCTCTCTCTTTCTCACACACTCTCTCTCTCTGTCTCTCTCTTTACATCAATTTATCTGGAGCCGCGCACCACATCAAACCGCATATCGTCCACTGAATTGAAGGTTCAGTCTGTCCCTCTATTTCTCACCCATCTTTCTCTTTATCTCCCTTCTCAAATCCAATTTCACTTCCCTTCATGGCTCTCGGTCTCCCTAACAAGCCTCGGCCAAGGCAAACCATTGGAAAATAATAGTTTATCTTCTTCATTCCGACCATATATTGATGTGACTTGTGAGATTGAAGAAATATTTGGCTGTGCAAGTCACCATTTGACACCAAACTTTTGAATGCGACCATGAAAAATATAAACTATTTCTTTTGGATTTGTTACATTTTTTTTCCCTTTTTCCATGATCATTCTCTTTCCCTTGTGTTTTTATGCTCTTTTACCGTATTTTTGTTCTTTTATAGTTTTTAATATAAGAATTTGTCTTTAAACTCGAATATGTAGAAATTTTATCTGAAATTTGTAGCTCTGGATTTTTAAGATGTTTTAGGGATTTGTGATTGGGGAATAGTTTTCAAAGCTTATTTTAGGACCAAGCTTGTACTGAGCCAAGCTTAAGAAATAATTTTAACTCTACTCAAAGTCAAACAACTCGACCCGAGCCCAAACATATTAGAATTTAGTAGACCCAACTCGATTAATACCCATAAAATGTAATGGTGACACCACGTTGTCCCTATCATGTTGTATTATTATCTAATAAAATAATAAGTGAACAAATAAATCCCACATAATTTAATTACTTCTCTTTTATATAAACTAATAATCACTCCATGTAAAGTAGTCGAGTTCATTTTATCCATTTAATTATATTTTTATTGGATGATAATACTATATAACATGGCATTAATATTTACTCCATTAACAACCATCACCGTTCTCAAGAAACAAAACGTACAAAACACGAGACTACAATTATAAGATTTCAGAACTTGAATTATTGTATCTCAAAGTTATAGAACAATCAGAAACCTGGTACAGTTCCATCGAATATACTTTTCCCTCATCTTTTCCTTTGAGATATTATCACATGAATTCAAGTGGAATTAACAATATTTAAGTGAGTCTTCACTAATTAATAAATAGTAGGTGATCTAGCAAAGAAAATAGAGCAAAACAAAACAAACAGACCAACAGTTCCGTACATGAATCAAAACAAGACCCAAAGACCATCAGAAAAGAAAAAGAATATGCGTGATAACCAACCATTTTCTTGAAATCACACAGAAGTAACACCAAAAGAAAAACCATGTTGGATTAATTTCTAATAAATATTCAGCAGGAAATCCAATCATCCAAATGCCCCCTCAATGTTCTTCAACTATAACAAGCAGACTGATTAGCATGTAACCTGCCAAAAGACCTTGTGAACCCAAATACTTGGAACACCCCTCCCCACTTTTCATAAAAAAAAAAAAACCCAAGAGGCGGCCTAAAAAGACAAGGAACTGAAGCAAAAACTGAACAAAAGGAAGCTCATGCAAAGTCCTTGTCATCTGGCATGGATTTAGCTCTTTTGCTTCTGGTTGTCACTCTGGCATTCAAAGTTGATGAGCAGATGCCATCACTAGCCCTCGTTCTTTCGTATGTTTTCTTCACGTCATCCCCAAGAGTAGTGGCTTGTGATTCTGTATCGTTGGACCTTTCAGGTTTTACAGGGCTAACTTCAATACCAACATTCACAGATTCAGGCTTCTCAAGTGATATGCTGTGACCAACACTCACTTTCTTTCGCTTGTAGCTTGGCTGATGTTTGATATTAGTTGAAGGTTCCATAATGCCGTTTTTGCCTTCAGTATCTTCCTCCAAAATATCAGGAATTTCAGAATTCACATTGCAGTTCTCTTTACCTCCAGCAAGTGTATCATCTTTCCCATCAGTTTCTTCACCAAGCTGTACACTTGTCTCACCTGTGCCATCAGTATCTACACAAGACTCTGCATCTTCCTCCTCTTTAGTCTGCCGCTGGAGTGAATCTATTACATTCATTAACTCTCTGTTGACCTGTCATGTAGAAACTATCTTCAAGGACAAACATACAATTTTAACCATGAGATGTCATAAAATCCCTCAAGGAAGGGTGAGTCACCATAATCACAGGTATCAAAATACTACTAATGAGTCAACAATATGTAATTTGAAGAGAACAAAATACAAATGACACTATCTACCAAGGGCACCCAGCTAAAGAAATCAAGCCACATGGCCATGTTTAGTTCCTATAAACACTACGAAACTATTTTCACATGCTACATTAAGAATGTAGCTCTCTCCAGTGTCCCTAAGTAAGGGAAACCAAGTTACAATGGGACCTTAACGTCTTTCCTCAACCAACTGGATACAACAGTAAATTTAAATCTTGTCCTTTCTCTCCACTTGCCCAACCTCAAAGGCTTTTAAGTAAAATCCTCAAATAGTTTAGGGCTACAATATCATTTTAAAAAAGTTTCTGAAAAAGAATATAAAATTAGCCTCTGCAGCAGATTTGACAGTTATACCTGTGGATGCTGAAGGAAGTCGGTTATGTCATTTGAGCAAGATGGGCATTTCATAATATTCTTCTGTGCTCTTAATGTCCGCCTGCCTTCACATGTCCTGTGTCTTATGACAGATTGACCAGCAAAGGCACCCTCCAAACAGACCTTGCAGAAATTATGAGCACAGGGAGTAGTAAGTGGTAGAGTCATCACTTTGGCGCAGAGAAGGCAGCTGAATTCTGCATTATTATCTCATATCACAAAAATGTCTTCGGAAAATTATTGAGAGAATAATGCAGATGGCAAATTTTAGCCTCATATGAATTCATAGTAATGACAATATTTGTATGTGCGAGGAAAAATCATATAAAATTTAAGGATCAAACAACAAAACCACACCCTTCAAAAGCCTATCTCTGACAGACATGTGTGTTTGACGTCTAACTGTTCTTCTGCTATTTCCATCCCCCTTATACTCACTGTCCATTTGTTTTCTACTTGGTGGTGGATGTTTTTTCCACATCCAGCAACCTTTTTCCACCTGCATGGCATAAACACAAAAGACAATCAAGTATAACCAGTGGTCTAATAGCACCATCGTAACCAAGAAGACGAGACTAACGTACATGAGAACAGGACTACTTTGATCCCAATTATTTGCAGATAGGACATATTTATTTCGCTATCACTTAGCATCACCATATGTAGATATGTACTAGCCTTCATATGTTCATTTTGTTACAGAAGTGCTAAAGAGAGGTTAGCTCCAACAACATGGAATGTGAGAGGATCATAAGATTCAAACAGACTAATGCTCACACATGCACACAATTGCACACACACCCCAATGCACTCACGCGCGCACACAAAAAGAGAAAACAGAACATATGAACCAATATGTCCAATTGAAAAATTCTCATTAGCTCACATCATAATCCCAGGAAGGGGTTCCCTTTCTTTCAGTAATGTCAGTCACATTCTTCAACTCCTTAATGACAGGCAAAGTCCTTGGACGATCCCCATGATCATCACTGCAGATTTTGAATAAAAAAAATGAAGCACACAAACACTTCCTTGTGGGAGGTGGGGAGGGGTTGAATTGATTAGAACAACAAGAACAAACCTAGTCCATGGGGCGGGATCATTATCACATCGGACAAAAAGATATCGGCAAACCTTAAATCCCTAATATACAAAACTGTCAGGATACATATTTAGCAAGAAACATGCCTAACATCTCTGGTATACAATTGCAATTACTAGTAAATATCCTACTTGAATTCCAGCTTTGCGCCAACATTTTTCAATCCTGTAAATCCCATCATACCGTACTCCGGTTTCTGGTGCATAAGAAGAACGTTTCTCCTTATGAGACCTATCCATTGAGATGGAGTTAGTTTAATAGTAGAGAACTATGTTCACATGCAAACTGAGGAGAACACTACAAATCATTCAGAAGTTATTTCTCAATGTTGACCCACCAAAGTACTCAGCATAGTGTCCTCCAACATAAACTGTGAGCACATACACCAGAAAATGTGGCATTGCTTTGAATGGCATGGTCAGTGCTTCCATTATGGCATGGGATATACTTAATTATCTTCACAATTACGAATGAGGCCAAACCCAAGTATATCAGTTGGCATATTAATGTAGAATTTTCATCCATCAAATGTTACATATAGTATCAAGAAAGGAACAAGAGGGTTGGGTTTGACAATCATAACATCAACTTTTTCCCTGATTGAACTCCCAAAGGATAAAATGTATGGTTATTCGCCACTATTTGAGGATACTTTTTCTTATTTATGAAAAGATGCGTTCCCCAACCTTACACACACCTAACTATTATCTATAGTATGAGTTTTACAAAATAAATGCCTAGAACACCAGCCTTTTTATTCATCCAATGTGTTAGACCTTGCGAGGTGGTCCTATATTTCTTCATATTTAGCTTCTAGTATCCCAGATGTTAAAATGCATGCAGCCTAAACTCTGTGTCAACAATTAAAAGATCACTAGGGGCGGAGCTGTGCAATCTTTATGCGTATACATCTTCCATGGGATGATACATGTATATTTTTAAAAGTATTAAATGGACGGTAGTTAAGTAGAGGGGATGGAGAGGTGGTTACATAAGACGTGGCAAAATATGATTGGATAAAACCTTGTCATGCAATTAAATAAATGAAACTTCTAAAAATAAAGGAAATGAAGAGGGAAAGCTTCCAAAGCTCTAATATGCAAATTCGATAGACACAAATTTCATAAGAGTTTATCAATGGATGCATATTTTACTTATAAACAACAGCTCACCTCACAACTCGGACAGGATAACCCATTCGACAACTGACTCGTAAGGCCTCATTAAGTTTTTCAAACTTCTGATCAAACGACTGTGTTTTGTTTGTCCTTTTGTTCCCACTAAGGTCCCTTCCACCACTGTTCATCACCAATCAAAAGAGACATTGAAGAGCAAAAACAAATCAACTTCAAAAGATAAGGCAAGGGCAAAAACAAAAAGGATGCATATGAAAAAGAGCAGCGGATTAAACAGGATACAGCTGTGGTAAGATACTTGAGCTTCTCAACTCAACCTACAACTAGTGTGAGCTAAGCCTACCATTTCAATGACATAAACTACATGGTTCATGGTTGATTTATGTTACAAACCATATGAGAACCATTTATAGAAAAAACAGACATTATGATGCAATATTGATTCAGCATTACCAAAATCCAAAGCAAAACAAATGATTTCAGTGAGCACCTAACAATAGCAGTCATGTAACATAAATCTAGAATTAAAAATTTTCCACATAATGTTTAAGAAGTGTATCTTGCTATTCAATCATAAACTTTACTCATCCAGAGCTAAAGAGGTTCACTGAAGATCAAGCCACAGTGAAAAGGTAGACAAACAACAAATTACATTCAGGAAGGACATTCTTGTTAAACCAGACAAACGGCCCATTACATTCAGGAAGGACATTATTGCTAAACAAGTTTCCACCAAGATGATTAAGGAACCAAATAAAGTTACTCTAAGATGGGAATGAAAAATTGGCACAAATATTGATCAATATCAATCCATACAAGTAACTTTTTCTCTATGCAGTGAAGATGCACTAGATACACTCCTATCCAAAATGTTCACGACATTAAGATTAATTTCATAATTTGAAAGAAAGTACACCTGATACCATTTTTGTCTTACAAGGAAGCAGATGCAAATGGTAACACATTGCATGGTGAGCCATTAGTGGAACTACAATATGACACAACAAATGCAGCCAAGACAAAGAGTGTACCTTCCTGTGTAGAGGAACCACTCACCATGGTCCTCATCATCTTCATATCCCCCAGAGAGTGCCACAGACTGAGACCCATAGTCTGCCTGTCCAGCAATACCTGCAACATGAGGAAGATGGGCTCCCCATTGCCTGCATTCCATTCGATCCTCCCAAGTCTCCCCAACCAACACACCCTGGTTTCTTTCTGGATCATTCTCAGCCAAAATTGGTCCCAAATGATCTGGAGGGACTGTGACAAATATCTTTCCACTACAAGCATTTGCCTTTCCAGCTTTCTTTGCACGCTCAGTGGTATATGCTTTGTCAGGTCGGTCTTGGTTTTGAACAAAATGATAGACCTTTGGTGCCCCGACCAGAGCATTAGATTTTGACATCTTTGCCATTCGGATGGCAATGACAAGGGCTGAGTTAATTCGCGGCTGGCTTGCCATCTTAGCAGGGATTGCATGGCGACAATTTGCACACGTGCGTTTCCCCTGCCCAACCCATTTCTGGAAGCACTTCAAGCAAAAATTGTGACCACATGGTGTCTGAAGAAAAAATACAAAATGTCATGAACAAATGCCAACCATTGAGCCCCTTGAAGTAAACTGTTGCTTTCTTTTGCTAATGAGAAATTTTGGGCAAAATTAATTCATGATAAATTTGTTTATCAACATCACCACAAAATGTATCCATGTATTATTGTATGTAGCTTCAAACAGAGTGCACATTTTAAGTAAAAGCTAGTGTCGCTTAAACTCAAATCATGGGTCCAGAAAAATACAATATGGAAACAAATTGTGTCCAATATTAGAATAGATATGGAAAGAGATACAGAGACAAGTCCACTCTTCACTGCCTGCTTTTAATAATGGCATGACAGGAATGCATGATCACTAACATCACACTTTTTATTGTGCTCATTGAAAGGAGCCAAACAAAATGATAACAGTAACAGCAAATCTACTAAAACGTATGAACAGATTTAGGAAATAAATGAATTATACACAGTTAAAGGGTTATGTTGGACATAAATGGTAAGGTTAATACAGGACACAGGTGCTAAAATGGTTTTTCCCTAAAGAATGATAGCAATTTCTAAAAACATTTAAAATATCAACAATTGCAATTGCACTGTGTGCCTGTGCAAAGCACTGGATAAAAAGTTGAAATTTTAACATAAATAAAATAAAATAAAATGAACCTAATAAAGGAAACATGGTTTGAAAATGATGTTAGTTCAAATTAGAAATTCAGAACAACGCTTCAAACGATATTATAAGTACGAGAATAGTAAAGCCACGGCCAGAATCAGAACAACTCCATTTGCTATGTGCACTTATATCCGCAAACCTAGGCAACTCCGAGTGAAAAAGTTCCCGAAATGGAAGGAAAAAAGTAGTATTCCTGGATCATAACTTAATTTCTAGTTCATAGCAGATAATATTTCTTCAAATACTATCTAACAATGAATAGATGTAAGAATCCTCAAACTTAGAAAGAACCACTGAAAAACTTTACCCAAAACAAATTAATGTTTCAAATATGAAAAAACAATGCATATGAGAACAAATGTCTATATTTCAACACATGAAAAAGTTTTTTTACGGTTTGTGGTATTGCACATACCGTCACAGGTCTCTCCGGGAGCTGCATGCAAAACGAGCAATTCAAGCTATCATCGAGAAGATCAAGAACATCGTTATTCTCCTTCTTATGATTGGCTTCTTCAACAGCGGCCGATTGCACGCCTCCGCTCAAGAGCTCTTGGCGTCTCTTGGCCTTCTCTTGCTCAGTGAGCGACGGGTTCGACTCAATGGCACGAATCGCCGAAATCAAGTCAGCGGCCGATTCAGATCCGGCGGAGGCGATCGATGGTGGCGGATGATCATCGTTGACGAAGGAGCAGTCCGGACACTCCCAGTGCACAGCGTCAGCTAGGGTTTTGAAGCGAACGGAGAGGCAGTTGACGTGCCAGGGAGTGGCACATGTCTTGCACGCGAGGGTTTCATCGTCCGAAGGCTTCTTCTTGCAGACCATGCAAATGCCGTCGCCGTCGCAGGGGAGACCACTATCGTGCGCCATGGGAGTATTCTACGGAAGAGACAGTAAGCAGTAAAGCAGTGGTGAGTCTAGTCTGGTGACTATTAATGACGTTTGGTTTTGTCGTGCTAAATGGGTGTGGGTGTGGGTGTGAAAGGAAAGGAGTTTTAAAGAAGAAAGAAGAGACGGGGCGGGGACTTGAAAATCGAAAAATTGGGGGATGAATTTTGAATTTTCCCTCTTCTTCCTCCTCTCCTGCTGCTGCTGCTGCTGCTGGCGAGTCTATAAATGGGAATTTTTCTCACTGGCTGGATTGCCCCGAGTCAGACTTTGGTTTCATTCACCATTAACGCTAAAAATTAAGAAAAGTGCCAAAAAGAAAGAGTAAATTACATTTCACCCCACCCCCACTCGAAAAAGGTGCCTCCAACGCTCCGAAATTAAGGCGGGCACGTGCTAGACCGCCATTGGTACACGTCAGATTCACCATTTCAATTCAAATGCCCCTCCTCCAAAAGAAACCCTAGTCAGAACTGCAGTCAACAACAAATAAATTAATGGTGATACAAACAAGCCTGCTTCAGTATCCCTAGCAGGGCAGGGTCAGGAATTTTGGTCAAGAAAGACACTTTAATTATGTATTTTTATTTATTTTTTTTAATTAATTATATTATATAATATATTTATATTTGTTATATTATATTTGATATATGAAATCCGTTTAACATAAAAAATTTCAAAAAATAAATGTATATTGTTAGGGGTTGAATCATAAATATCTATGAGAGAGACAAAATATAACTGATATAAAAAAATATTTAGTCAAAATTCATACAAAAAAATTAAATTCGAGAATGACAAAAACGTATGAATCTAAGACAAAATTATTGTGAAATAATAAATTCAATTTTTATTTAGTCGAAATAAAATCCTAACAAAAAGAAACAAAATAATTTTTTTTAGTATATTTTAACATAATTATATATTTTAATAAAATATAAAAAATTTTAAAATCTCTAAAATTTTGTATATGAATTAAATGTAAATTAATTTTTCACTAATTTTCTATCAATGCGCACAATCACAAGTCTGTAGTAAAATTATTCGTTATTTAATTACAAAATTAGTTGAGATCATTATCAATCTTATAGAGAAATTTTCTATTCGAAATAGATTAAAATATTTTTGGGTTATAACCTTTTATCTTTTGTATACAATCGTATTTTATAAGGTTTTAGACTACTATTGATAAAAAAATGATAAATGAAAACTAAAAATTGTTCTTAAAAAGTAACGAACATTATGTTAGATAATGAGAAATATTGTATTTTCGTCAATATACAAATAGATTATTGACTCAATCTAAAACTAACACATTTATTTTAGAGGGTTAGGGGTCCCTATTTTATTAAAAAGAAAAAAGAAAAAACTAGAATCATTATTAAACTAGAATCTTCTTTTTTTCTTTTTTCTTTTTTCTTTTTTTTTATCTCGGGGGTTATATTTAAGAGGATTTTGTGAACTTCTTGTTTGATTAAAATAATAAACAGCAGTGTAGAAACATGAAATTAAACTGCTTTATATCATGGATGCGCAAGCTCAAACACATGTTTGCGTGTGACATGCCCTGCCTATGAGCTTATACGCTTGTCTATAGAAATGTCATGTGTTGCATGTAAATCCCATGCACTTTTGCCGTTAATGCGCAAGAACAAACGAACTTGGTGTACCATTTGCCATCACTATTGATTCAACATCATCAGTAACTATTCGTGAGAGGGATAGAAAGGATCAGATTCGTGGCAATGTGGAAAAGGTAGCATCAGTGACAATCGTGTCTTGATAAAAGATGTTAAATTTTTTGGGCATGTAGTATCTGAAAAAGGAGTGATAGTGGATCCAGCTAAGGTGGAAGCAGTAGTAAATTGGGACTGACCTAAGAATGCAACAGAAGTTTGAAGTTTTCTGGGATCGACAGGATACTATCGAAGATTTGTCAAAGAATTTTCTAGAATAGCTATGCTAATGACCCGACTCACTCAGAAAGGAAAAAAGTTTGAGTGCACTAAATAATGTGAACATGTATTTAATATTTTAAAGGAGAAGTTGATCACGGGGATTTAGATCCTCTCCATTACCTCTTTTATTTAATTTCTCTTAATATAGTGCTAGATGAGCGACACGTGTGAAATTTTAAATTTTATTGGATAAGATGTTTCCTTATCCATTTTTGTTGTTAGTGGAGTGTTAACCATTATTAAGGAATTTTCTCACAAGAAAAAAATCTTATCAATTAAAATTTAAAATTTTACACGTGTCACTCATCTAACACTGTATTGAGGGAAATTGAAGGAAAGGGATAATGGAGGGGATCTAAATCCTTGATCACGACACCTATCTTTACTATATCCAAAAGTGATATCGAGTATGATGTTTATATAGATGCATCATTACAAGGACTTCGATGTGTATTAATATAAAATAACAAGATAATTGCTTATGATCAAGACAATTAAAAGTTCATGAACAAAACTATTTCACCAACAATTTGGAACTGGTAGATGTTGTCTTTACTTTGAAACTATGGCATAGTTATATATATATGGAAAAAAAATTTAGATTTACTCAGATCACAAAAGTCTCAAGTATATATTCACTCAAAAATATTTGAATCTCCGACAACAACGCTGGATAGAGTATCTCGAGGATTACGACTTCACACTTCAATACTATCCGAAAAAAGCTAACGTGATAGCTGATGCATTGAGCAGAAAATCTCGAAGTGCAGTGATCAACCTATTGAAGGACAAATGACAATTGGGGGGGGGGGGGGGGGGCACTAGAGGACTATGACATCTAGATGGGTGAAGTAGAAGGTCAATCACGTTTGTTTAATCTTGTTACTCAACCTATCCTCCGACAAAAAAGTTGTTAAATTACAACGTTCAGATTTCTACCTAAAATCCATCATCACCCAACTGGAAGATGGGAACGCTCTTGAGAATTGGTGGTTACAAAAAGGGGGAATTACTATATCAAGAAAGGATATGTGTACTCGATAATGTTCAATTGAAATAGGAGATACTCAAAGAATGTCATCGCTCTAAGTTTTTCATACATCCTGGCAGCACGAAAATATATCAAGATATGAAACATCAATATTGGTAGAAAACAATGAAAAAAGATATGATTAAATTTATAGCTCGATATGCCATATGTCAGTAAGTAAAAGTTGAGCATTAGAAATCTGGTGGGTTGGTATAATCCTTACCTATTCCATAATGAAAATAGGATCATATCACTATGGACTTTGTGATTAGATTGCCCATACCTACCAAAGGATATAATGCAGTATGAGTTATAGTGGACCGACTTATCAAATAAGCTCATTTCTTAATCATGAAAAATATTAATACTCTAGCTATATTAAGTCAACTTTATATACGAGAAAATTGTAAGATTACATGGGGGTACTATTATCAATCGTGTCAAATCGAGATACTCGCTTTGTGTCTCAATTTTGGCAAAATTTACAAAAAGTCATAGGAACCAGAGTTGCGTTTTAGTACTGCCTACCATCCTCAAATAGATTGTCAATCTGAAAGGGTGATCCAAATATTATAAGATATGTTTCGAGCTTGCACTCTAGATTTCAAAGGTATCTAGAATAAACATTTTTCACTAGTGGAATTTGTTTACACCAACAGTTATCAAAATAGTATTGGCATGACTCTATATGAGGCTCTATATGGACGATCTTGTATATCACCTCTATATTGGGCCGAAACTGGTGAGAGCCTTTTATTTGGTCCAAAAATTGTCCGAGAAACCACTGAGAAGATCCAAGTAGTTCGAAATCGGCTACGCACAGCTCAAAGTCGACAAAAAAGCTATATAGACCAAATGAGGAGACCTTTTGGAATTTCAAATGGGTGATTATGTATTCTTAAAGATATCCCCTATGAAAGGAATATCGATATTTGAGAAAAAAAAGTAAGTTGGCTCCCAGATAGTACAACGCATTGGAAATGTAGCTTATCAGCTTGTCTTGCTAGCTTCGTTGTCAGGAATATATGATATGTGTCATGTATCCATGTTAAGGAAATGTGAGTCAGATGCATCTTATATTATTGATTGGAAGGATGTACGAATCCAAGAAAATAGAACATATGAAGAACAACCTGTGCAAATTCTCGATACAAATGAGCAAATATTACGTAACAAGGTTATACCACTCGTAAATGTGCTATAACAACATCATGGTATTGAAGGAGCCACGTGAGAACTAGAAGTAAATATGTGTACAAGATATCCTTATTTTTTTAGCTTTCAAGGTCAATATCAACTTTTGGAGATGAAATTCTTTTTAAAGGGAATGAATTGTGGCGACTTGTATATAAATTTTTTTTAAGGGGGAAAGGGGGTGACAATCATGGTGTGTCGAGTTCGTATCGTATCATTACGGGTTTATGTTGAATATTAGTTAATTTTAACCCAACCTATTTACCTAATCGTGTCGTATCGATTGACCTATGTATTTTTGTATCAAGTTTATATTTGTATTCGTGTTGACCTATATAAACTTTAAATAAATAACTTAACATTAAGATTTAAATTTAAGATTTTATTATTAATTAATTAAATTTATGCTCATATTTTTTTATAAATTAAAAATTAACTTAATAAACATAATAATAATAATAATGAGTAAAATTTTTTTTTTTAGTATAGTAATTATGTCAATGCTTAATAAATAATAACAAATAATTAGAATTTTATTTATATAATATTAGTTAAACATGTTAATAGTGTCAATTTTGTGTTGTTCGTGTTTCACATCAATTCAACTCATTTATTATTCGTGTTAATGGGTTGTGTCATTTATGGATTTGTGTTGAAAAATTATCTACTTTAATCCGTTAATTTTGTATCGAGTTTGAATTGTATTTTCATGTTATGTTACAAATTGTCACCCTTAGTTACGGAGATGTACCCACCCCACTAACCAACATCTCTGGATGAGTGACTGAACAATTATACAAGTCACTTTTTGAGGCATAAACTATTCAGGGTTAATTGCAAACTGTATCTTAAAATCTTTCGAATTTTAATTTATACTCTCATAGATTAAAAATTTTGATTTGTACTTTTAAAGATATAAATTTATATTAATATGCATCTCAAGTTAAAAGCAATCTAATTTGTTTTCTAAAACTAAATGGGTAAAATATATTTAAACTATTTTATGTTTGTCATTTAATGACCTGAACTCTTTCACATTTGAAATATTATACTTATACCTCCTGAAAATTTAAATATGACTAAAAGTGTTATCCTATTGGACATCTAAATAATTTTATTAAAATGATGTATTATCTATTTAATAAATTAGAACGAAGTTTGAATCCAAAAGACAAAGAGAGGTCTAGATCATTTTGAGATAAAACATAAACACATTTAACGAATAACGTAATTTCAACATAAAAGACGGTTCAAATCTTCTCAAAAATTTTGATCTAACGGTCTATAATGAGTATTAAATTTTATTTTCCCGCCTAACGCCATTTCTTGAGTCACGTCTCTCTCTCTCACCTTTCTCTCTCTCTCACTTCCGCCTCTCCCTCTCTCTCACTTTTACCTCTCCTTCTCTCTCACGCCTCTCTCTCCCAATATATCATGCCTCTATCACATCCAGCCTTCCAAACTCAATATTCACCCCAAACTCATCCCCCTATCTCTCACGCCCAGCTTTATACTGTCAAACGATTGCCACCGTCACCCATTGCTCTCTCACACATCCAGAGCTTTATCACTGCCTTCTTCTACGAAGCAATGCCACCGCCAAACAACAGCCACCTCCACCCATTACTCAACACTCAAAAGTTGTCCAAGTATCTCAATTTTTTTCTTTTTTTTCTCATCCCTTTTACACCGCTGCGCATATCTCACTCTCTTTGTCCGTCTCTCTGCTCATCTCTCACGCACACAATATGTTTAATGCCCCAAAACACCATATTTTTAATGTTGAATGGTGGGTATGTTGGTTTTAGGTTTGAGATAATTATCGATTTCTGGATTTGGCCTTAAATGAATTCTATGGTTGTAGATTCAATTTCTCTTATATATTAAAACACTAGATTTCACTCTTCCTCTACCTCAACACGATATTCTTGTGTGTGTGTGTGTGTTTCTACTTTTGTGTGCATTGAGTGTGTGCATGTGTGTGTGTCCGTTGAGGGTGTGTTGGTGTTCTTCATCTATAGTCTTGAAACAAGTTAAGGCTACTGTTTTTCTGCCGTGAAAAGAAAACAAATGCATACTAGAGTATATAATCAACATCAAGAATTCCTGGTTTTTCCCTACTAAACTCAAAAGATGTATTAATAGGCAAGGAAGTAACAATATAATGTAGAGTTTTTCTTAATGTAACTAATATTAAAAAATGGAATATATTACATTTAGCTGGATACTTTATCAAAAATGGAGATATAATATATCACTTTTTTTTGTATCTGTAGGTTGTGGATCAGGACTTAGTAGGGAGACGTTATCTGAGAATGGACACCAATGGATTGGCTTAGATATATCACATTCAATGCTTAGTATGTGGATTTAGGGTTTCTGCTGAGTTGGAGTGTTGCAACATCACTCTGTCTACACTTCATATCTTCCAAGTAATCCTAAAGTTGCTAATCTAGATAATTGTATTGGAGCGTGAGGTTGGGGGGTGATCTTATGCTTGCTGACATGGGTCAGGTAGCCACTCAAATTTGGAGCTTTGATATGTATGTGGGTTCAGTTTAAAAAAAAAAAAAAGATTTGTATATGGGACACTTTTAACTTTAAGTTTCTATGGTATATGCCAGTCAAAAAAGTGTTCTCAAAGTGGAATTATGGGACATATGAACTGTTACTTCCTGGCCTATTAATACATCTTCTGCGTTTAGTAGGGAAAAATCAGGAATTCCAGAGGTTGATTATATACTCTGCTTTGATCTAATACCCCCCCCCCCCCCCCCCCCTTGCTTGCCTAATGACTTACAGGATTTGGTTTCTTGGTTTTATGTGGGTAGTGGGTTGTTTGATTTTTGCATAATTCCTTGGATTTTGATTGTTTTTTACAGCTTTCAAAGTGGCCTGAAAATTGACTGAAATAATTAATCAGTAATTCACTGATGAATCTATGTAATGATCCATGTTGTTGAAGTTACTTGATTTTGTTTAATTCATAAGTTTGGTTGTTTTTCGGAATTTGTTTTGTGTGGGAACTGTTTAGTTTGTGATTTTATGTGATCTCTAAAGTGACATGTTGTTTGAGTGGTGGTTGAAGAGTAAGTGTTCGTTATATAACTTTGGTGTAATATAGGTTGAGGATTGCAATTTGTTTCACAGTTTGTTTATTTTTTAAATGGTAGATTGTGTAATTAGTATTTTATTGATTGTCTATAAGTTGATAATCTATTGGGATCATATTTTTAGGAGAAATTATGCCCAAATATTTTTAAAAGAACAAAATAAGTATTTTTAGATTAAATGACATAAATGGTACATTCAGGTTTTAACCATCTCTCTAATAACTGAAACGAAATCATTTTAATTATTTTTATTTCACTAAAGTCAGGACATCAAAAATTGACTAAACAATTTTTAGCTTAATGTGTGTTTATATTTATTGTTTGATTGTTCCATGTTTAAGAATTATGTACATTGCCTTCAGGCACATGATATAGGGCGAGTTTAAGTTTTCAGTTTAGTATGTGTTCGAGTTCAGTATTTGAATATTTCGCATTCAAATTTAATGTTCGATTTTTTTTAGTTGTTTCGTGCCTTCAAGCATGGGGTTATCCCTAGTATCAGATATAAAGAACATTAAATAATATAAGTACTCTGAGACATTATATAATACCTGTATTGTATTGGAAACCTTGATTTTGAATTTTAAAGTACAACAAACCCACAAAATAAATTGTAGCATAGAAATTATAGTTGTTTATTAAAATGGCTTCATGTGTTTTTAGAGGGTTACATTAACAGATATTGACGACAAAGAGTTATGTGTTACACGTGTACAAAACGTAAGGGGGTGTAGGTATAATAATTTGAATGTAAAAAACGTAAGGGGGTGTAGGTATAATAGTTTGAATGTAAGTGATTTTGTGATTTGAGGGAGTTTAAGTGTAATTTACTCATTTAATTTTAGACAGTAAATTGACGATTATTACCTTTCAAGTGTATATTGATATAGATTTATATCATTCAGAGTATAAAATAAGATTTTTTATATTTAAGGATATGAATTAAGATTTAAGAATTTTTTCGGTATGCAATTTGTGATTAACCGAACTATTTATATCCATTTCAGTATTTTGAACAAGTCTTCTCTTACACCCAAATTCCTTTTCCTCGTCATAAGCCTCTCTTTAAAATATTTATCGTGCCAACTTAGATGTATGTTTTCCACTTTGGACGTTTTTTGGTTACTGACTCATAGATTAAATAGAATAATAAGTAATTTTATTTAGTATTTAATAATATACAATATAAAATGTTGGATAATAGTTATTTAATTTAATTGGTTGTTCAGTTAGAAAATTATTTTATCGTATTAACGTTGAATTAACCAAAATACATTCAGTCAGTATTTGTTACATTATTGACAATTAGAAGTTATAATGTGTAGTAAATGTATAAAATAATACGTTTGAGTTAGATTATAATATTATTTTTCTTAGTGATATTAAAATATATTTATAATTTAATACAAATATATCGTACAAAAAATATACGATAAGTATATATTTTTAAAATTAATATGATATTAAATTTATTTATCAAATAATATATTAGACTCAATTAAATAAAAAATAATATAATTTAATATTTAATTCTCTTATAATATCCATTCATCTACAAAACGAGTCGTGTGCAAAAATCAAAAATCTAGTAAATGGAGTGGATAAATGAATAATACTCCAGTTTACATTTATTTTTATTTTTGTTATTCTAAAAAAGAGCACGCATGAAATGACATGACCCTCGTGTTACAATCCAAAACGAAACGGATCAGGAATAATGTGTAGGACGACAGTGAGTGAATAATTTTCATTGAATCCTTCCTTCCTTCCGTATTTACCCTTTCTACTGCGCTTACCCATCAATTTGAAAAAAATCTTAAACCTCTCACTCAGTCACCCCTCCTCGCCAAATACATACAAAATATTTGGGTAGGTGGGGTGGGGTGGGGTAGGTAGCATTAGCCAATTTAGCCCTAATCTTCTTCGTTGGCATCCTAATAATAAAGAGAAAAGAGACGCTCTTTGCTCGATCAAACCTCTGTCTCCTACCTACGACTTTTCACTCACACATCTCATCTACTTCGTCATGGCGTCCATTTCCAAGCTCTCAAATCCAAACCCCACTTATTCATCAACCTCGTTTGCGTCCAGGTCTTCTCAGCCTAAATTTTTTGTGGATCTGCGTTCAAAAACTGCTTTCCAAACAAGAGTTTCATCCTCAAGGTTGTCGGTCCACATCAGCCATCCTTTAAGGGGCTCCTTGCAGTAAGTTTCCTATGCATTTGCGTTTCCTGCCTTTTATGCTCTCACGATCTTCATCTATTTTTCTGCTATGGTATTTTTTCCCTTATGGTTTTGGGCTGTTGTTTATTGATATAATACATATTTGGTTTGCTTGTGCGCTCTCTCTCTCTCAATGCGCAAATAGCTTCTTGACCTCCTCGATATAATAATAGAAAAAGGTTTGGCCGTTGTGTTGTTCTAGCTTGTTCATGGTGTGGATGCTCTTATAGCTCCGGGACTTTTCAATGATCAAAGTTGATATCTTTCTGTGATGTGGTTTAATGTTTCTTTTCTTTTCATGCCACCTAGATGATTCCGTGAATACCTAGTATACTTGTATCGCTACTTGAAGGCGCATCAGGGGCATTTTAGTCTCCAAAGTGATCTATTTATTCATATTCAATAAGTCTTTAATCTTGTAATTGGAGAAAGAATATGAACAGATCCAATGAGGGCCTCATAACTGTCCATAAATTTTGTAATCTTGATTATATTAGATATCATGGATCATGTAATCGATGCCATCACTCAATGTTTACAACATGCACGATGTGGTCCCCCAACATTACAATAGTATCACATTAGTCTCTGAAGTATTTTAATGTTGGGGACTAAAATGAGATGGAAAGTATACTTTGGGACTACTACTGCAATATTTTGGTTAAGTATACAGCAATTTGTCTAAAATACCCTTTCTTTTGAGAGCATGTGGGAAGCACATGAGCAGAAACTGTTAAAAATTTGGACGGCGTTATATGTGGGGACCACTTAAAAATAAATTCAATACATTAGGGATCAAAATGAAATGAAGTCCAAACTTTGGGGACCATCACTGCAGTTAACCCATAAATATAAGTTCAGTTCATCAAACTATGAAATTTTCGTCATGGGATTAAGTCTATTACATGATCTCATGCTCAGTCAGTGAGCCAGATAATTTACCCAGAAATGTATGCACTCTCTATTTGCCAGAGCTCCTATTATTGTCAAAATGGAAGGTTTAGAAGCAATGATATATTACTGGTTTTCTTTTTTCATGTTGCATCATTGTTGTAGGTTGGATGGCATGATTCACTTTGTTTTCTTCATATCTATATCCTAAAACAAGGAGCCAGTCACCAGAATCATATAAGAAGTTATACAAAATAGTGCCAAAAAACTGTTGATGTGTGTATGTATAATATATCATGTTTCTGTGTTTTGTTATTTTCCAGCTTAACAAGAAATTCCATATGCTATATGATTTAATTTTTTTTAAGAAATCCTCTTATTACTGCATTTCTGCTAATTTTTTAATTGTTGTAGCTTTCACTAATAAGAATTGTACTTCCTTGAATGTCTACCATTATTAATGAAATAAATTAGTAGCATTGCTGCCCTGTTGCTGCGTGGTGATATTTTTAAAAGACTCAATTTAACCCTCCGACTGATGGACCCCTAGCAAATATGAAAATATAGTCTACAAATGGTGTTTACACTGTTGGCTTTGGCTAACCGTAGACATTTCCAGTGGTTAGTTCAGAAACAGTAGGTTGCTCCTGCTTGAGTATGACTCCTTTTCTCAGTGGAACATCATAATGAATCTCCGAGCATTATATTTTATTTTCATAGTTTAATTTTGGGAGACGTAAATGTTAGGAAATCTTATCGCAATTATAGCGAAGCTGATTCCCAAACACGAATCCACAACATTTGCATCGCTCCAGGTCCTATATCTAGCACTAAAATACTATTATTGCGATTTGCGAGGGAAAATGTTATTTGTTTCTGATACAAATACTTTTATACAGAATTATAGGTAGTCACTTGCTGTTGTTTGTTTTCCCCTTTTCCCCTTTTTATTGTTCTTTTCACTGTAGCGTTTGCGTAATTTTTACTTGCCAAGTTCTTCGCCAGTGTCAGATGCTCCCAAATCGATGGCAATGGAAGCCAAATCAAGGGAACAACTCTCCATGATCTATATGAGAAGCAAGGCCAGAGTCCATGGTATGATAACCTCTGCCGTCCAGTGACAGATCTGCTTCCATTGATTGCAAGTGGTGTCAGAGGTGTTACCAGTAACCCAGCGGTAATTAACATATTTAGTTTTCCACTTCATGGTAGTTTCCTCCTTTTCCTCTTTGATACAAAGAGAAGAGGGATGGACATGAAGTGAAGGAATAAGATCTAATTGATTGCTATACTTTACTGAACTTTTTATTGTTCGTATTTTTTTAGATTTACGAAGTCAATAACCAATTCTATATATGATGCAGATTTTCCAGAAAGCAATATCAACTTCAAATGCGTACAATGAACAATTCAGGTATTGTTGATATTTAGTTGGTTGGTAAGGATTTTTACCCTTATGTGATCACAATAGTGAGCTGCATGATTAGTGATTCCCCTCAGAACAGCAGAAAAGCTGCCAAGGTGGGATGGATCATATGCCTGGATGAACTATGGAAGGAGGCAAAAATTTCTTCTATTGCTCACTACTTATAAGAAATAACAAGAGGAAATGAGAGTTTGGCTAGTGGTTTTCTGACACCGCAACATTACTTTTTGTCTAAACCATGTGTTAGAGCCTAGAGGGAGTAATATGTCCAGAAACGGGAAGTTTTTAATGTTTCATTTGGCATGTGAAGGTATTTCTGTTGTAAAGGGACTAGTTTTGTGATTTATCTGTCCCTTTACTTTCTGATTAGTAGATAGACAAACTAAATTTTGCAACAACTGCTTGGCCTGGAATAGGTATAAGCAGATGTTATATATAAAGGAAAGGAGCTGCATTGGAAAGGAGCATTTTTTATTGCCTGATATCTCTAGGACTCAGCTGACCTTCTGATATTGGCGGACCTGGTTATCCAGAAGTAGTTTTGGGTTTTGCTGATCATTTTTAGCTAGAAACCTAAAACTGGTTTTTTACCTTAAAAGTACTGATATGCCTGACTTAAAGTTGCTGTGTTCTGTAGAGAACTTGTACAAGCCCGAAAGGACATAGAAAGTGTGTACTGGGAACTTGTGGTGAAGGACATTCAAGATGCCTGCAAACTTTTTGAGCCTATCTATGATCAAACAGAGGCTGGTGATGGCTATGTTTCTGTTGAAGTTTCACCCAGACTTGCTGAAAATGCTGAAGGGACTGTGGAAGCTGCAAAGTGGCTTCATAAAAAGGTTGATCGTCGCAATGTGTACATAAAAATTCCTGCCACAGCTGCATGCATCCCTTCAATCAAGGAAGTCATTTCACATGGCATAAGCGTCAATGTAACTGTAAGTTGATCCTTTGCATTCCTAGTTGAGACTATACTATTGATACGAAGCACTGTGCCAATATTCACTGGTGTTTGACTTCTCTGTTAATATTGTGATGAACTTGGATAAAATTAGTAAAGAAAGAAAAAAGAGTTAAGCCAACCAATGGTTCTTTCAACATTTCTACTCGTCCAATACTTTGTTTCTACTTGATTACAAATGATTTGACTGGTCAATAGTTCTACATTTTTGTATGAAGGTTATGCTTGGTGGGTATGCATTTTCCGTGGCACGAAAGCCTCTTTAGTTGACCCATGAAATCACTATCTATTGGTTATGAGTGCTTCCTTTGGTGGTTTGGGCAGGGTGAATAGTTTTAGCACTGATGTGCTCCAAAAATATCTTAATGTCTTGACAGATGATTGTTGTATGTTGTTTTCTGCAGATGCAGTGACTAGGCATTTCTTGTACCATTGTTTTTGTGTGACATGTATTGGACCAATTCTGATTCAATTTTTTTTGTATGGATATGCACAGCTTATATTCTCTCTCACTAGATATGAAGCAGTGATTGATGCTTACTTGGAAGGCCTTGAGGCTTCTGGGCTAAATGACCTCTCCAGAGTTACTAGTGTTGCATCCTTCTTTGTTAGTCGAGTAGACACTCTTGTTGACAAGATGCTCGAAAAGATTGGAACTCCAGAGGCTCTTGATCTCCGTGGAAAGGTAACCAGAAAAGATAATAGAATTTGCAGGGATTGGAAAGTTGCTCATGACCTTTAACTTTGTTCTTTTCTATAGGCTGCAAATGCTCAAGCAGCTCTGGCTTACCAGCTTTACCAGAAAAAATTCTCTGGTCCAAGATGGGAGGCTCTGGTGAAGAAAGGTGCCAAGAAGCAGAGGCTGTTGTGGGCTTCCACAAGCGTCAAGAATCCAGCCTACACTGATACACTCTATGTGGCTCCACTTATTGGACCTGACACGGTGATCCATCTAACTGTCTAGTTTTTTGTGCTTGGTAGGGGTTGTGGAATTAGTTTTATTTGAACCAACTACACAAAACCAGTTATTTTTCCATTCTTTATTTCATTGAACTACTCTTAACCGTTCATCTGTGTTGCCTCTTTTATTCCATAGGTTTCAACCATGCCTGATCAAGCTCTCCATGCATTTATTGACCATGGTACAGTTGCAAGGACAATAGACTCGAATGTATCCGAAGCAGAAGGCATTTACAGTGCCCTACAGAAGTTGGGGATAGACTGGAGTCATGTTGGCTCCCAGCTTGAACTTGAAGGAGTGGATTCTTTTAAGAAGAGTTTTGACAGCCTGCTTGATAGTCTGCAAGAGAAAGCAAACTCTCTTAAACTCGTCAGCCTGTAAACTTTATGCTTTGTTTAATTACTGCAAGATGACTTTTAATAAAGTGATTGGGTTTCCAGTCCTGCTGTAAAGGAGTGTGCTGTAAGAGTTATTTTTTTTACTATGATAGATGGGATTCAGTAAAAATTATATGTAAGCCAAATCTGTGTGGCAATCTAAGAAAGTTCCTGGAGGCTAGTGTGGCCAAGACTTCATGACTTGTGTCGAAGCATTTATATATTCAAGTTCTACATGTTGAAAGATTGTATCACATTGTAACTTGCATTGATTCGACTGACAAGAAGAGGGTGCATGGGAGGTGAATGTTGTGTTTGGATGGTTGAGGCCCCAATATGTGTTTCAGGGCAGACACAACCTCATTTATAGTCGGATGAAAACCTTGGTAACAAGTAATTATCTGGTATCTGTATGGTCGACAAGACATGAATCGCCCACAAATTTACATAGACATTGAACAATTAGAGATCATCACAGTTGGTTGAAGCTAGGATTGCAGCGGTTGTTATGACTAGGATTATCACATACTTCATTGAAACTTCTGACCATTGTCTATCGAGTCCAAGGTCAGAAGTTGCACAACAGCCACCCAAAAAGAGTTCCTCTTCCCCTTCTGAAAATATCATGTGCATACAAAGGGCAGGGGCTAAAAGGCTTAAAATGACGGTTGCACAATCCTTGGAGGCTTGTCAATTGAGGTGAATATACTGCTTTTCCAAGGTAATGCCATATTGCATATGACTGTAACATGATTGTGGCCTCAGTTTTAATTAAATTAACAATGGATGGATTATCAGATTGTTATTGCATGAGAGTAGAACTGAACAAAACCAATGTTGATGGTAACCTAGAGGCCAAGTGCCTAATATAAACTTGAAAACATTTGCAATAATATGGCAACCATTGTGTTCCAGTTAGCCAACAGAGAGCTCTCTGCGCTTCTACCACACCATGACCATCCCTTTAAACCCACGACCATGGCATTCCAGTCAATTTCTGGAAAAGGTGAGATCAGTTCCAACTCAATATTTATCAGCACATGGCTCCACTGTAACAAGGAGTGAATAATACAAACCAGCGATAAGAGACAAAGCAGTTTTTGCTTCATAGAGTGCCAGTCTATTTGAAAGTGACCCAAAAAGTAGTGCACTTCTAGCGTTTACCAACGCAGGCAAACAAGGGAAACAACAATAAATAGAACATTTACAATGTCATAGTCGTGGTGGTCATTGATAGATTGCTCCAAAAGTGGTGTGCATTCTCCATGATCATTATCTACGATGGAAGAATAGAACATATGTTGCATTCCATATACATGCGAGTCATGTGATCACACATGCCACTTCAAGATGCATAACTCAACAATTTTTTCCATTCCCTTCCTATAATCACTTTGATCCTCTCATATCCAAAGTTACCATTGAAATCAACTCAATTAAGCATTAATCAACTATGTTCATGGCTTAATAAATGATACAGTCACCTTCAACATTTAACTATAAACCAAGATGCACCCAAAACACAATCTCAGAATCATGCACCAGAGGCAGCATCAATATTCAGTACTGAGAGACCGTTGCTTCATCCTCGTAGTATGGCTAAAGTGTACAAAAGATAAATGGTAAATCATAAAATAAATTACCTTAGCCCCACTTTTTATTTTTCTTCTTTGATTTTTTTTCTTGGGAATGCTCTAAGGACCCTGAAGAAGTAACTGCACTAAGACCCCGTCCTGAATCTTGAGCAGAATGGTCAATGGACCTAGTGGGCTCATCAGCATGTCTTTTTTTTGAAGGATTTGATAGCTCCCCTGCTCCAGACACAGAACTCCTAGGCCTACTACTATGTGAGAAGGCTGCATTACCACCTGCTGATTGCGAGTTTCTTAGTCTAAGACTTTGAGTAGGAGTTGCAAAAGTTCCAGAAGACCTCTGATACATCTGTTTCATATTCTTGGTATTGTCTTTTTGAAGTTCATTAGGCTCGGGCTAAAGGACAAGCGAAACACATCGCGAAATCTTTCCAACTGTGAATGAGAGAACAATATCATATGATGATATGAGTGCAAATACTACAATATTGAGACAATGGGTACTCACACAACTCCCCTGTATAAAAGGAAAAGTAGAGAATATGACCATTCCGCTTCAGACTGGGTGAACAAACCAACAGATATGTATGCAACTTGAATATTTTAGTGCATAAAAGTTTGATATAACACCTTCCCAAAGAGAGGTCAAACAATGACTACTATAAACTTGCTTAGGGAACTAATAAAAAGGGAAACCAAAAAAAAAAAAGAAAAAGACTTTCAGATGATTTTTAAACTTAGAGAAGAAATATGATAGAGGTGTGTTTTTTGGGAATGAAAAAATTACACAAATGTATTGTTATGATTAAGAATATATTCGAGTGCAGTGATTTTAGAAAGAATAACGACATGGAAGACTAGTGAATCCCCAAATCATAGTAGACTTACTTCAGTTTTTGTTTTGATTATGAACGAATCAACTACACACACATTCAAGATGAAGTTCCATAGTGTATTTTTTTTTATTGCTACTATAATATTTGTTGGAAAAAGTAAATTAGGAATTTTGGAGAGGAGTTTTAGGGTTAAAAAGATATAGGATATTTTTCAAACAGAAAAAGATTCAAGATAAATAAAAGTAAAAATGAATCAATAGAATGCAAATTGAGTAAAAATATTAGTCTAATTAGGTGTAGCAAAGAACAAATATCAAGAGATACCAAACTGTGAACAATATTGATAAAATAATGACAGCCATAAAGATAAAAATTGAATCTTTCAATAAATAAATAAGAAAGAAACTTGCGCAGGAAAATGCATACCAATTTTTGAGTCGGAGGCAGAAGATAAAAACACTGTTGCGTCTGGAGCTTGGGCTGTGAAACTGACCACGTCATATGACTTTCCTGTTACTGTTATTATGAGAAACATTATAAAATATAATTAGCCTTCTCAAATCAGATGGGTAGGCCGAGTTGATATCGGCGTAGCCCCTCCTATTCCTATACATAATTGATAACAGTTACACTCTACTTGCCAGATGAACCCGTAAAAGTGCCCAATACTCCATTTTGATGAAGCTTCAGTGGAACTTTTTGCTCATCAAAATCAAGAGGCTGCAACACGCAAGAATAACAATCTGATAGTAAACTGAGAGCCAGAAGCCAACAAAAAGCAAAAGTTCACCAAGAATTATAGGCAAGTGCTATAGATTAGGGGAAAAAGCAAAACAAAACAAAAAAATTATTACATGATTAATCGGCCATTGAATGAGCCAAAGTTCAGTCGTGTCGGTTAGATTAAGATCAACTAGTGACTCCTTTTTATCCTCCTGAAATTCTGGCGGAGGTTTGTAGCCTAATTCTTCAGTACCATCCATTGCTTCAACGATTCCAACTCACCACCAAGACCTCCTCTCTTCGCAACAATAAACACACAGAGAGAGAGAGAGAGACGCAATACCCTAGTCCCTAACCCCTCAATGAGCCACATGCAAAATCTGGATAATAGGCAGAAAGTGAACGGTGTTTAGAGGAATGATAGGGTCAAACGGAAACTCAAATTCTTTCAAACTTTAGACTCAAATATATACTAAATTGAGGTAAAATTTATTTTGGATTTAAATTAAACTCAAATTTTATATCAAAATTTTAACCGTAATTTTTAAACATATTTAAAATTTAAAAACTTATTTTTTGACGACTTATTCTCTGTCTCTTCTTGGCTCTCTCTACAATGTTGTTTCCATCAACGACCACCACCAAAATTTTTATAAATCATTTGAGTAGGTAAGTTTTTTCTTTTTTTCTTTATTTTTCAAAACTCTAATCTAATTCATTTTTCATATTATATAAACCTTAAATCTATCCATCAATTTTTTTTTATTTTTTCGAGTTAAACACCATCGATTGTACAATTTCAAGCTACCAATTTTTCCTGTCATTTTATTTCTTCAATCTTTCATTTTTGTTAAAAACGTATGTTTTTGTGTTTTTTCCATGTCAAAATAATTATATTCTTTTTCTTTTTCTTTTCTTTATCTGGATCTATGAAAAATGATAAAGGATTAGAACAATTTTAGAATTTTGTGGTGGTTTTTTTTATTCTCATGTAGTAATACATATTCTTTTTTTTTTTTTTTGAATTACCCATTTGTGAAAAGAGATGAAAGTTTCATTTATTTTATCAAATATCATTATTTGAATGTCATAAAAAAATGAATTTTGGGACAATAAGAAATTTTTTTAAAAGATTTAAATAGATATTTGAATTTGTCCACTGGAATACACTATATCAAATCAAGATTTTTACAAATTCAGACTCAAATTTGTGTCATGGTTAGAGATGCTTTTAGTAGTGATTGAATGAGTTTATTTGAAATTGTCAAATAAATTTATTAAAATTTACATATTTTATATTATAGATTTGAAATAAGGACATGTTAATCTGTCTTTATCTACCAGATAGCCTTAACATTCCTCCCTATATTATAAATTTGAAACAAAGATATGTTGATTTGTCTTTATTTAGCGGAGTGAATTTGACTCTTCAAATGTAGAGAGTTAAATTAGATTCTTTATTTTAAAGAGCCTAAGTAGAGAACCTATTGAAGATTACTTTTTAAGAGTCAACTTTTTAAAATGAAAAATTGAGTGAATATAAAGAGCCTATTGGAGATGTTCTTATTTTTTCACTCTCTCTTTTTCTCCCATATTTCTCACATCATTACTCTCTCTATCTCTCCCCTACTTTTTTGTCTCTCTCTTCCATTAATAATTTTTTTTTTTTTCAAATATTAAAATTTTGATTTGATTTTTTCATATCTCTTCCCTATTCTCTCTCTCTCCCCCTATTTTCTCTCGGCATTACTCTCTTTCCTTATTCTCCCCTATCTTCTTATATCATTACTGTCTCTCTTTATAACAACGTTACAATAACACAATTATATCAATCATATTGTTCAACCCATTTATAAATGAGTTAATAAATATTTGGTTAAAATTGTCACCTTTAGATAAAATGATCCAATTTGAATTGAATTCCTATAGTATTCGGGTTGGAATTTTGATTGATGGGTTCAACTTGAACATAATTAGAATTTATGAAATTGGGTTTTACTCAAAATTTTAGGCAAAAACATAAAAAATTACAAACATACACACACATAAAAATTTTTGGGTATTTGATTAATGTAATTTATAAAATTTAGGTACAAACTCAATTCTAGTTCAAAAACTTAATAACAGGTTGGACTCGAGTTAAATTAAACTCGAGTTAGAAGTTTTATATCTAGGGTAGCGTCTAGGTTGACCCCCAATCCAACTGAATTTTACCTCTACCTCTAGTATGAGGAGGCTATTAATCAACAGAACCCATAACTACTGGATCTGGATAACGACAAATGGCCAACTTGATAAACTCGTCTAGTGTTTTCGGCTATTGAAAGAGTATATATATATAGAGAGAGATATGAATGGAAGGCCAGGCATAGCAAAGCATTATAGAGTAGAGTGTTTTAGTTTGTTTCTACAAATTCACTTCTAATGGTGTAATCCTTTTTTTTCGTCAAAAAAAGGTTATATACCATAAGCTCATTTAAGCCTCACTATTAATTAATATTTATAACTCGACCCCAACTACACAGGGTAGATAAACAACCCTTGCCTGAAAAACAAACACATATTGAAGGGCAGTTGCCACAATCAATGCGATAAATGTAAAGAACATCACTCACACATATAAATACATTCAACATTTAATCACCATTTCCACTTCAAGTTACTCTTTAACTGGAGCGCAATGGAGATTTTTGCCTTCCACCCACCTTAAGGCCACACTTTATCCTACGATAATAATCGGTTAAAAAGCCAGCAACGATATACCATAATGCTTGTTTAACACCTCTAGTCCAAAATCTGAAATTTCATCAAAATGTTTCAAATCACACCAACACCAACACCAACACCATTTCATTTTCATGTGCTTTGTCAAGAAGAAAAACAAAATCATCCTTTGCACAAGAATGGAACTATGGCTGACTACACCAACCATGTAACCATAAGGCTTAAATCATTCATCACTGTCATCCGGGATCGGGATGATCAGTCACTCCAGACAGCCAGTTCAGTTCAGACACGCACCTTGGTTGGTTTTTCTCATCGGAATGGCAGACCTTATCTGAGCATGATCAAGTTCCCAAAAACATCACTACTGATGCTCAACCAACAACTTCCTACAAAATTATGCACAGTGGGAGTAAAGAGAAATTAGCAAAGGCCACAAGGTTCTTTCAAAGCTAATTCATTTTTCAAATCCATTCACTGGCTTCCTGCAGTAACTCAAATTATGAGGACAGCCTAGGCATCGTGGCCCATATCAAAATCCCAAACAAAGGTAAGAATACAGGATGTGGCAAGAAAACCCGAACTATCTATCATACCTCATTTGAAAATTCCAAATACATATTGTACAGAGTGTGTATGTCTGACTAAATATACTTCAGTCCTGAGATATATTGTTGTCTGGAAATGAGATACTGGGCCAATCCATATATAATTCCGAGAAGCCCCAATATTCTAACCTTGATCACATCCGTTATTATGATTGAAGGCAGATTCAAGGGTATTGTAATCAATGGCGTTGAGTTGGTCTGCTTAGTGTAGCTCCACACAAAGCGGTTAAAAAGTATATGACTAGGGAAACTAAGGATGAGGAGGGCCACATTCTTGACAGCGAAGAACCAATCTGGTCCTCCAATTTCCAAGCCCCAACCCGCATTCCCATGCCATACATCTTCCCATATGCCATAAAAGGCAGTCAAGATCAAGTAGACAGAGATAGCCACCGTTACAGGGAAATACCTCTGCTTATCCCCAAATCCAGCAATAAAATCAGAGTCCTGGTTAAGAAGAAGCAAAATGGGTGCCAAGAAGAATATAGCACGATTCGAGCCACCCGTGAGATTGATATTTAAGATCAGGCATATAGCAAAGCACATCACAGTGGCTACATTACCAACTGCTGGCATCCATGCTCCCTCAGCAGCCATCCTCTTTATTGTGAAGGTTGGCACAGCAGAGGCCCTGCGTTGCTGCATGAACCTCAATTTGGGAGGGAAAGTGGTAGAGCTGCTTTGTCCAGATTGGCTATGCCTAAGCCCACCCCTTTCAGTAACTTTTTCTCGCATAAGTGAGGCAAGCTCAAACTTTATCTCCAGTGCTATAAGCATAAAGATTGCCGCATATAAACCAAGGAGAGATGTCCTTGCCCCTTCAACAGCCAGTAGTGTCGCCAGCTTGTTGTCTTCCTCTCCCACATCTCCAACTCCAGTCTCCCCAAGGAGACCCTTAATTCTCACTTGACCCTCCAATAGGTATGTAACAGGAAAAAGAGCCACGAGCAGGGCAAATACCCATGGGAGAAGCTTTGTGCTTGAGGCAGATGGGAAATGGGTGAAGACCACAAACACAGAGGCACAGACCATGGTGACAACAATAAGAGCATGCAGGATTGCTGCCTGGAGGAAGTATTCTGCAGCTATATAAATGCCAAGGGTAATTCCTATGGCAATGGAATACAATGCCCTCAACTCCACAATGTACTTAATGGGAATGACAGATGTAACAGCTGCCAGAGTGAGCATGATTGCTGTGATAAGAAGCCAAGATGGCCATGTAGGCTTTGACGCCTTGAAGCCATATATCGAGATGTCGTCAGCAGATTGACGAGCAGCTTTGATTAAGTCAGAGTGGTAAGTCCAGGATAATGGAATTGGTGGCTGCATCAGTATAAACAGCAGACCTGTTGCTATCACCAGCACCAAGCATCTCTTAGCAGACTGCACACAAGCGAAAAAGCAGAGTGATGAACTCAGTCTGTGTTAAAACATCAAAAAACAAAATAATAAACCACAGTATAGCTAGAGGAGTATTAGACATGGTGGACAAGCAATCATTCATTCAAATGATTGAATGGGAAATGTACTCATATAGCAGCTCAAACAAACGAGAGGAAGAAGAACCTATCGTACCATGATATGGGAGAAGTGAAGAGCAACGATGGGTATACAAGCCAATCCCGTCAAAAGAATGCACAAGCCCCAAAGTAAACCATCCGATGGATGTCTGCCATTCCACCACAGGAGAGCTTCAAAAATTGTTTCACGGCAAAACCAGACTGATAAAGCAACCACACCAGCATGTGCATAACCTTGCCAGGGCTTCATCTTTGAGGCTATTCTTGAATTATCCCTGTGAGATTAATATTCAAAGAATTGTCATGGTTGATGCCATCTTAAAAAATTAAGCACAAGAAACTATAGCACGAATATGAACAAGGATAAGTATACTTGTAAAGAAGGAGTGGAGGGGAAACAGCCAACAAAAGAATGGCAGAAGCCCACAAGACAGCTTTTGACGTCACAAACAGCATGGCGAGCTTCGAGGAATACAGGCAAGTCAAAATCCAAACTGCCTTTGGTCCAATTCGGTGATCGGCAGAAAGTCTCCTCACAACAGCCAATCCCACAAAAGTTGTCATGACAACCATGTAACTTGGATACATCACATCTTCCTCCAATCCATAATAGTATATGCTAGAGTAACTAAAAAATCCATTTTCAATGTAGCACAATAGCATTGCATGGCAGATCAAACCAACCTCAGTCAAGAAATGAAGTTTTGGCGGTAGAAGAGCTAAACCAGGAACAACCATTGCCAGGACAACACTAGCAACTATAAGCTTACAGAAGGATTTCAAAGACATGCCTGCCATCCAAATATTAAGATCCCAGAAATTATGCAGTACAAACCATGTGACCATCAAGCTCCCAAGTATGACAAAGGCAAAATATGACGGTAGGCTCTTCTTTGTAAAAAAACGAGCCAAATAAAAGCCAGCAACAGCTGGGAGTGGAAGGAACTGCACGATAAGAAAAAAAGAATTTCAATAGCATACAACAATATCACTGCAGTGTAAAGGAAAAAAGCGAGTATCAGAACACATGAGATTTGTCTGCCTCCCTATCAGAACAAGAAAACTAACATATACATCAATCATGTTCAGAAAATTTTTCTGCTTTTTAGATATCATAATTATCATGAAAGTCACATGCCTTCCAGTTCATTGTACTTCAGTATGAGCGATTAAATGTTTGCTGTAATCAAAAGAAGTATTTGCATGCTCTACATGAAGGCATGGTAGCTTCCATATTGAGATCAGATGCAGTATCAAACATAACCACAAGATTTCTCGATGCACAAAAGAATGTCCCAGGAAAACCAACTGGTATGGGATTTTCCTTTATCCCAAATTTCTATGTAGCTCTGGATATATTAGCCCAACTCCATAATGAATGACAATACATACTTTGGGTTGACCCATGCCAGTTTTTAATTATGTAAGACGTCCCCAAAGACATTGCTGTACAACCGAAACTACAGAAATTTGATACATCACAAATTTGTTCACGTGCTTTACTAATTCTTTTGATCATTGATACATCGCCACAGATCTTAAAGTCCACATCTCAAGTAGCATAAATGATTTTATATAAGTATAGTTTGTCATTCGTAACTACAAAAACAGATACTTACAAGCAGTTGAAGATTTAGTTGTTGATAAAAAATAAGCAGTCAAATAATGTTTTTATCCGTAGAGAAAAAAGTTTTATGGTTATCTAAAGCACCAAATGCTGCAAAATATGAGTGCCAAAATGCTAAAGCCAGGAAGCTCCTCTCAATAGCTAAATAAGAATTTGAAGTCCAATCTCCAAGTCCAACCTTGCCCGATTAGTGTATTTTTCAAGCATGCGGTCATCCATATATTTGTATTTTGTATCATTTTAGCTATTACTGACATGAAGTCAAGTCACAAAAGAAGTAACACAGACAGAGGGACCATATAATAGTGTCAATAAATACTTCTTATGGTGTTCAACGTGCCTTGAAAAAGCGTTTTGTGCAACTGGATTAGAAAATTGGTGCCATACCCCCACCCCACCACCTGTGTGACTATAAGAAAATGACAAAAAAAATAAAAAATTGGGCCTCTTCTTAACACCTAGTCAACTAGCCAATTAGTAGAAATATAAACGCATGGGGAAACAAATTTTTTCGGTTCGGTTTTTAACTTGAGAAAAACAAAAACTTATGATAATTACAGAAAAAACGAAGTCACTGCCAGCTGCCTAATGTCTTACAAACACAATTTCTTGAGAATTATTAATAAACTATTTATTTTAGTTACCTAATAAGTTATGACCAGAAGTATTCACAAAATGCTTGAGACCAAATTTTTGAAATGGTTCAGGGAATGGATTCTCCATGTCAACTTTTCAAATTTGTGTTTTCCAAGACAAAGGATAAATATGGGTAACACCGTGTATAATCAACAATAAGAGGAAATAAGTCAGTCAACAAAACAAAAGGGGGAGAAACTTAACGAAAGGGAGAAATAGAACATTTTTGTCAATATAAAAGCACTATGGCCACACTATTGAGAAATGTTGGACATATCCTCAATACAGTGATTCTACCACAGGCATGTCGAATCACTGAATGGCCTTGGTGATTCTGAATATTGGTAATTAGAAAACGAAAAATCACAATGATTTCAAACTTCACTTCAATTGTCTCGTATCCATGCTGCCTCGATGTCAAGCTCAATGTTTGTTAACTAAGTGAGAAACTCCCAAACTTGGTAAATACACACACATATATATTCTCCCAATTTTTCAAATTGAGAGTTAAACCAACTCAATGCATATACAACCCCCATTGTCTGTACTTCACTTAAATCACCGTCTAAGACACTCAACTATTACTCAACAGATCTGCTTTCACAAATCAAAAGGAATATTTTAATGCTAAATGATGTCTGGCAGAGGATGAAAGTGTCCATAAAGAGTACTAGGCAAACAATTCCAACAATTCTTCTGGTCTACCACCTAGTATAGCAACAAGTTGATTGACCAGAAACCTAGCCCTAAAATCAAATTCACGGTGGTGTTATGTCGGATCTGGGAGATGAAAAAGGTGGCACCAAATGTTGTTAACAATTGCACACAGTGCCATCTGTTCACTTCATCGGCTTAACAACTGGGTAGGGTCAACCGAAGGAGTACCAAAGTTACAGCTCTAGACCTACGACATTTTCCTTCTTCTTCTTCACTATAAGGGGCCATCACCATGGGTGCAATTGATGAGCACGCACAATATACACGAACCAGAACAAAATAGACCTCGGTAACACGCCAAGGAGTTTTTTATTGCAAAGAAAAATATTATTCCAGTTCAGTCCTCCGAACATATGTAATTTCAAAAAGCCTGATATAGAAAGTAGCAGATTGAAGAAGTGTGGAACTTCAAAAAGGAAAACTAATAACCAAACGCAAAAGTTCCTGTGGCTTGGAATTAAATTACTATTTATTACAGGTACAATTATCAACTGCGCATCAATGAGACATCTAGATGAATACGAATTACATAAGCTAAAGACTGTGAAATGCCTACCATTACAGGAAATCCCACAACGATCGCACCAGACGCATTAGCTATGACAAACAAAGCAGTGAAGCCCACTGAACTGGCATCAAAAATCATGCCGAGGGCATAAGCACCAGCAGCAGCAGCACCTCCAAGCATAGCAATGGTCACAAGAAGATAATTGAACGGTGGTGGCACCTGAATATACCGCCCAAACGAATGGAAAACAACCCTGACCTCCAAGCAAAGGACGACAATAACCAAAGCAACAGCACCATTGACCAAGCGAATACTCTGCAGCTGATGTTCATTCTTGGTGACCCACCACAACGCCCCCCTCGTTGAGGCATAGAGTTGAAACAAGAAAGGAACGAAGAAGAGAAGGAACAAATCACAAACAGAAACACCCGAAGAAAACACAACTGAGTAATGAGAGGCAATGTGAAATAGCAGAGGGAAGAATAAGAGATGCAATGTGTGCAAACAACTCTCAAGCTGCGTAAGGATTAGATTATCATCCGGAACCTCTCCACCATGATAACTAACCTCTTGCTTCAATTTGAAAGACGATACCCGAGGAACCGAGAAAAGCCAATAGAAAACACAATTGAACATCATGAGATAGTAAGAAGCATTGCTCATACCGACAGCGGAGACCGTTGCCCATGTGAAAAGCACCGAAGCAATGAATGGAATGCAAGCGAACAAAAGGCGCTCGAGAGCGAGGACAATTGTTGGATACTCGATCTGGATCCACTTGAATTGAAGCGAGACCCAGACGCCAATCAAGAAATTGGCTAGGGCGCAGGTGAACGAGGCAAGGAGGGAAAGAGCGGTGGAACTAAAAGTAGCGAAGATTGATGAGCTGAAGAAGAATGCGATCTGAGCTGAGAGAAGAGAGAACCACACGGCGAAGAAGGAACCGGACTTGGAGTTGAGAGAATCGAGTATGTAGGCGATCATGAGGCCTAAGGTTATAGTTGCGGCGACTGGTGTGCCGCCGAGATCGAGGAGGAAGGCGGCGCAAGGGACGAGTGCAACGGCGATTCGGGCGTTATGTAGAAAGGATGAGGGTGAGAAGCGACGAGAGTTCTTGAGAGGCCGAGTGGAAGAGGAGTTGCGACTATTACTGCCAGTGTAGGAGGAGGAGGAGGAGGAGGAATTAGGGCTAGGGTTAGGGTTTCGTTCGGGAGAATAACCGTTGTTGACGGTGGTGGGGAAACTAGGTGCACTGATGGAGGCGGAGATGTAGGGACGGAAAGAGCGCGGTTGGAGCTCCGGCGGTAACATCTTTGTTCCCGGTGGGGAAGAAAAACTCGGAAGTCGGAGGGTTGTCTGATCTGTTGTTTACTTGCTCTATTCAGCTTCTTCGGTAGTGCCGTGTTTGGTCCTTGTAGTCAGTGCTAGACATGGGGATTGGAGTTACAGAAATGGGAGTGGGAGTGACGTGTTTGGGCTTACGGGAACCGTTGGATGGGTGATTCAGCGGGACCCAAACCCAATTGGCTGTCTGTCATTTGGTTTTGGTGCCCTCCTTCTCCTTCTCCTTCTCTATTAGGCCTGATCCCAAATTGACACCGGAAATACGTATGTATTTGGTTTGGAATGGATTACATCTAGGGATCTTAATGGACCGAAACGAGAGTGGGATATAGTCTTCATCTTCATATTCGCTTAAAAAATTTTCGTTCATTCTCGGTTTATTCCCGCTAACAGGTATAATTTTCATTCTCATCCCCATCCGTGAGTAAATTTATAATCTCCGTTCCCGTTCTCGCTTTTCCCGTACCCATGCCAAACTCAAGCATAAGTACAAGTACAAGTCCAAGTCCAAGCCCAAGCCTAAACCTAAGCTCAAGTTTAAGTCAACATAATCCAAAATTTTAACTAATCCAACAACATTCTAAATAATCTAACACAACATAATGTAATATACTATATTCGAAAATAACAAAAATCACAAATGTTCAAACTACTACTTAAATTTGATATAATTTAACATTACACAACATTACACAAATAACATAACAGGTGGTAGAATCATCTTAATCAACTCAACATCTCTTAACACCAACTTCACACCAACTCAATCATCACTTAACACCCTCAGTGGTGGTAGAAACTACATCTTCAACATCATTTTTCTATATCATTAAAAGAAAAAAAAATTAGATTCTTCCAAAGAGAAATTTTCTCAGTATCCAAATAGAAATTTTCAACTAAAATGATATACCTCATCACTAATATCAAGATCCTCCAATAATGTGTAGCTCTTTAGGCCTGCCGAAGTAGATGAACCTAACAAAAAAAAAATGTATTAGTCATATTTTACCCACCCCAAAAAAAATTATGATGCACATACAAATAATATTTAATTACCTCGGTATTCAGCACATAACCAACTTTGAGAGCATATTAAAGCCTCTACTGTAGTTGGAAGAAGTCTATTGCGATGTGGACTGATAACCCTCCCACTTGTGTTAAAAGCAGATTCCAAGGCAACGGTAGAAATAGGAATAACAAAAAGATCTTTAGCAATCATTTGAAGCAGAGGATACTTGAGACCATTTGTCTTCCAAAAAGATAGTATATCAAAATCTAAACTTCTTGGCGTCATACCATCTTCTAAGTAACGATCCAACTCAGATCTCCCACGTGCTTTTGGTATATATCTTGTTTGTATAAACTTATCAAAATCAGAGAGATCATCAATTAATGGGCATTTAGAATCAATATCTGATTGAAGAGGGGGAGGAGAAGGATGTGGTTCATAATCATTTCCTTGTCTCGTTTCATATTCGCCTACCAATTTCAAGCAAAGCTCCTTAATCTTCTTCACTTCATTTAAAACTTCCACACCTCTCCATACATTTTTTCATAGTAATACTCCAAAATTCCCAACTTATACCGTGGATCTAAAACAGTGGCTATTCCCATAACACCATGAATCACACTCTAATATTTGTTAAATTTTTCTAACATATTCAAGGTTATATCTTTTATCACATCTTTGAGACTTTAAAACCACTTAGATATTTCTACTCTTATCCCACAAATAGTTGAAAAGTATACATTGACAGTAGGATACTTTGTACCTGAAAACAATTTTGTTACAGTATGAAACAATTCCAATTTTTCACAAATCTCTCTTGCCACCTCCCAATCATCTTCAGTCGGACAAATCTTATAATGAGAATCTCGATATTTCAAGCGAGCAAACACATCTCTATAAATTAAACTAGTTTGAAGTATGAGAAAAGTAAAGTTCCATCGAGTCTTAACATCAAGAGCAAGTTTCTTGTTACTTGAAATATGTATCTGATGAGCTACCTCTTCAAATTTTTGCACTCTCTTAGGAGATGTTATCCAATAAGCAACACTATCACGAATTCTTTCAATACCATCTCCAATCACATTCAAACCATCTTGGAAAATTAAGTTGAAAATATGTGCAGAACAATGCATATGGAACTACCGACCATGCAATATTAGTGAACCAAATGAAAGTTTATCCAACAAAATAGTCACAATTGCATCATTAGTGATACAATTATCCACAGTCAAAGTGATCAACTTTCTATCAAGGTTTCAATCGAAAAAGCAATCCATCAAACACTCCAGAAGCACTTCCTTAGTATGTGGATAAGACACATATAAAAATCTAAAGATAATAAATAACACATGTTAATAGAAGATCATTAGTACCTTATAATAAATAACATATGCTAATGAAAGATTATTAGTACCTTATAATTCGACTTTGCAATGTCCAAGAATTGTCAATAAAGTGTGTGGTGATTGTCATGTATCCCTTTCTTTGATTGTTTGAAGACCACATGTCCATAGTAATAACAACTCTACTTTTTGTCTTCTCCAACAACTTCATTGTTTTCTCCTTCTCAGTTTTGTAAATTTGAAGAATATCATCTCTAAGAGTGTTCCGGGATATCAAAACATTAGTTGAAGAGTGTGACAATATTTTTGAAACTTGTGATGCTCAACCATACTAAGAGGATATTCATGCAATATAATCATATTGGCAAGATCCCTCCTCCCCGCCTCTTGAACAAATCGCCAGTTCTCTATTATTTTCTCAGTATCCTTTTTTAATTGGTTTGGTACCAATAAACATTGCTTCAAATTTTTATATTTCTTCATCGGACAACTTTTAAGATGGTCATGCAAGTGGATAGTTCCATTCTTAGCACCACCAACAAGTAATTTCTTACATTCATTGCACTCAGCCTTTAACTTCTCATCAATTGTTTTCCTCTTGAAATGATTCCACACAATTGATCTATGTCTATCTGTTTCACCAAGAGTCATTGGAGTTGAGTTGGTAGATTGATTTTCATCAATAGAGATTGGAAGTTGGTTGTTTTCATCCGGTGTTGCAGAAGTTTAAGGAGTTGACATATTATTTCTCATTTCTTCTCCTTCCATTCCTACTTAATCAACTACATGTAAAAATCAACTAAGTAGAAACCAAAGCAAACAATAAACCTCAAAGAAAGCAATGACATCATGTAACATACATCAAGAAGTCATTCACTGTCATAGACAAATAGTTTCAAACTTAGGCCAAGCAAATTGTAGAGAATTGACAAATCTTGTGATTTATGTGGTCTAAGCCAAATGAACATCTTGGAATATCGAATCCTCATTTGTATGATTAACGAAAGAAAAATACACGCCTACATTAAATATGTATACTTTATTGTTTGGATTAGTGCAATCAAAGAGAGTTAAATAGTTAATAGATGTATACTTTATTGTTTCTTTTCATCCATGATTTTTAGTTCTTCTAGAGTTGACTGCATGTGTCATTCAATGTTTCTATTCCAGTCTATTGAATCATCTGTGTTCTTGCAGTCATTGATATTAAAGCTTTAATCTCAAAGACAATTTATCATAAGTCTTATCTGTGTTCTTGCAGGTTGTAAAGTTAATTAAAGTGCTTGAGAAATTATGTGAAATGAACCATGGATGTTTGCGTGAAGCATTGGATCCCACACAAAGGATACCACAATAAAATGGTTTATGTATCCAAAAAAAGTAGTAATCAACCTGAACCAAACACATATTAGCACCAACTCTGATTATACAATGGGGAAGAAAGTTACTTACCTGCTGTGGCAAGAAAATATCTGATTCAAAGCTTTTCGTAGGACAGCAGGCTGTCAAAGACGAGATCAGGTTGAAAATCCTTGAAAATCTGATTGAACAGGTTGAGTTCCTTGCTAATGCTATCGGTCTCTACCTAATGAAAGACTAGAATAGCAACTTAAATAAATAACAAAAATCACAAGCAATAAATACATCAAATTAAATAATAACAACGAATTTTGTGCGACTATAGTCCCAATCCATGATCATGAAATTACCCCCTCAAAATCAAACTTATTCGGAATTGCATGATATTTTTTTTTTGGATGAGGATTTGACTTCTAAAGCAAAATTTCACTTTTATAGAAATACTGAAAATATAAAATATAAAATTCACAAACCTATGTATGCCTCTTGGACTCATTAACAGAAGTAGATGGCCAGAAGCTATGCCTAGGTTCCAATGGACATTCCCTGAAATAGCAAAGTTTTAGAGTAAGAGATTTAAACCTTAAGTTAACAATATGAAGGTCTAAGGGTGAATGCAATGAACAACTTAAATATAGATACTCGGAGATCTCCTCCTTTTCACAATGGATCTCCAAAACCCCAAAGCTACATTCAATAACCTTCATATTCACATCCGTCAACTAATCCATGTCCATTACTGAGTCTTTCTCACAAATCACATACCAAAAAAATACAAATAATGATAATGTTGGTGAAACTCGGACAAAAAATCAAAAGAGAAGGACTGATGGAGGCGAGCGACTGTGCCATATTTCAGTAACCCATATTGTGCCATATTTTAGTAACCCATATTGTGCCATATTTCAATAACCCATATTGTGCCACACTAAAACCAACATCAATTGTGCCATATTTCAGTACACACCTTAAGTTATGAGTCGATGAGCCGATGGTGGTGGACTGCTGGAGGCGGGCGACTGAATTTGATAGAATAAGTTAGGCTAGGGTTTTTAATTGAAAGTATAGCCTTCATCCCCGCACGGGTTTATACGGGTATCCCCGTATATGTCCACCGTCCAATACGTATAGTCCATCCCCGGTCCAACGGGGCAGGTTTGGACGAATACCTGTTTTTCTTCAGTTCACTGTCATCCCTAATTACCTGTCAAGGTTTGTTTTATTTTATGGGCCAGTTAGAGGGGTCACCTTCAACATAGCTTTGCATTTTGGGTTAATTAATGACCATCGCCCCCGTTAAAATTGTCCGGCTTGTCGAATGTGGCCCAATATAGTCATCACTCCTCCTGGGCAGGAGGAGTGAGGCCCCAAAAGAGGATGCAATTTGCTGATAGGCCCGACCCATATTTTGCAGATCAATGCTCACATCAATTTTGTGTTGTAGAAAGCCCAATCAAGCCCAACTAATGCCCATTTGGCCCACCAAGAAATTATAGGCTTTG